TGCGTCGTGATGACGGTGCTAAATCACAAATCTTGGGAAACATAAAACCAAATAATATTTGTGCAGTGTTAAACCGAGGGCCAGCCAGAGAGAAATAGATACTCCGGGCCGTTTTTGTCTTCCCGCAGCTGGGATAGCAAGAATGTAACACCAGAGTGAGGGAAATTACTCTGTTGTTGCAGGGGGAGCCATCTGTGTCCCACGGATGAAGGGATGGCTTGAGGGCGACGGTGATCAGGCAGGAAGAGAAACAGATTACCTCAATAAATGACACACACACACGGACACATGGACCCCCCCCCCCCCCCCACAACGCAGAGCGAGTGAAAGAACATGACGGAGTGAGCATCTGTTTTTTTCCTCTCGCAAGAGACGCGCAGAGGGGAGATGTTTTTTTTTATATATATAAACAGCGACTATCAGCTCGTCAATTCAGCTCGACAACAGCGACCAGCCGCAGAAGACGGCGACCATCAGATCGGAAGAGGACAGCAAGCCAGCCCCGGGGCATGGCATCGAGATCAACAATGCGTGTGGAGCATCGCAGAGAAGAGGGGCGAGGTGATGCTCTGTGCTGAGTTCGGCAGGGGCAAACAGAGTATCGCTGAAAGTATTCTCAGCGTCAAGCAATCCACCTCGAGAAAGGGCGGAAAGCGCCAAGCATCGGCCAAGCGAGCATCGCAGAGGACCAACCGCAGCAGACGAGCTGCGAAAGCAATCGTCCAGCAGGAGAGAGCGCGCAACCAGAGAGCAACCAAACAAGGGTGCCAGCTGCCAGCGACCAAGCATTGTGCCGACTCGGCTCATCCAGCAGGGGAAAGAGCCTGCCCAGCCGCCCGTGAGCAAGGGTGTCAGCTGCCAGCGCACGAGCGCGATCGCGCATCTTCAAGGAGAGGGCATCGTGCCGACACAGCTCATCATCCAGCGGCGGAGAGAACCTTCAGCCAACGTTCGACGCCGAGCGATAGAGGGAACCAGCCGTTGTTCGTATGCCCCTCCCCCACCCTCATAAACCCATGACGCTCCCGGCGTCTAATCACACAATAATTTACCAAAGAGACAATCCACCGCACCCACACAATATTAAGACTAATTATAAAAGTGCATTAAATATCAACTGATCGTGAAGAACATTGCTGCCCATTGAGTTACGTGGATAAGGTCATTTAGAAGCATCTTAGTCGTTCGGTTTTTTTATTGCATAATCTTGCCGATTAATCTATTGACGGATATTTTGCCTTTGGGGTATAATAATTGCTTTAATCGCCTTTCGCATGAATATCGTCGGATTAATTTTAAGGACTTTTTGTTTCTATTTGCCGTGTATGCTCGTGATACTCTGAAGTAATCAATTGATCTGTTACCCAATTAACAACGTGACCATTGTGGGTTAAATGTATGGATCACTGAGGTTGATTATTCCAAGCATAATAATTTGCATATTATAGTGTTAAGGTTTTGTTTAGAAATTTAAATTGCTTACCAGAGAAGTGTTTGAGTGTTTCTTTCCTGAGTTCATGCATAATAATCTTATTTATAAGAACTGTATCCTGCGTTGACATTTGAATTTGGAGACCTGACATGAACACTAATACATAATCAGTAAATGTTAAAGCGAGAATAAGAGTATTAGATCGATTGATAATACGAACCTAGACAATGAAGCCGAGTTTAATCTGACATACTTACAGCACACCTGCATAACTTCATACGATTAATTGTCTTATCCCGATTGATGATACGACCCTCTTCAGCGAGGCAGGGCCTAATTATCATAACGGCTCGCATTAGCATAATCGCACACGTTCGCATAAAGTAATACGATTATCTCTCTAATCAGCATAATTTATGTACATAATTACACAAATTAACATAATTTCGGATAATTATGCATTTTTCCAAATTTCATTTAATTCTTATTATTTTCATTCAAAATTGCAATACCAACATATACAGCAGTATCCCAAGACATGTTTTTTCTCGTCAAAACATGACGTATACCAAATTCGACGCATTCCAAAGCGGTTGTTTACCGAGGTATGACTGTATTTACATAAATTGTACGATTCACACGCACACGATTTGATGCATGTGTAGTGATGGGATGCCATCTGGTGGCCATGGGGGAATAACTACAGGTATGGGTGCATTGTAAATCGACACATGTAGGCGACCACAAGGGGGGCGTAACTGGGACAAGGGTGAATGAGGGGATCTAACTGGAAGCTCCTGCAACCAGCGAGAGAGTTCCAGAAGAGGGGCGTGGCCAAGGGCGGGGCTTTATCACGCTGGGTGGATATAAGGGAGAGGCAAGTGGGGGTTAGGGGGCTGTTGTGGGGGTTCGGGTCCTGGCTGTCGTCGCTGTCATCGCTGCCATCTCTTGGTTGTCATTGTCGCTCTATAACCAGCCAAGTATAGTCTTCATCGTTGTCATCCTATATAGCCAGTCAGCTATATAGTTGTATGTCGCCGATGTCGCTGTATGGGTGGCTAAGTTATAAGTAACTCAGCGCTTATGTTATTCGTGACCCTATCCGTAAAGTATCAATAAATAAATAAGAACCCTCTACAATTCGTGTCTCGGAAGTCGTCTCATTACACATGTGTAGTGACTGAATCGGAGACACTAAGAGTTGGAGGCACTCTGTTTATTAACACGCAACCAACGGGTTAACACTTCCAATAAATCTGTCTATAGTCGACTACGGTTCCCAGTCAGGATAGTTGGTAGACTGCCTGACTGGCGACGCCGAGATGGTGAAGACGGAGACTCCAGCAGCATAAAAGGGATCCCATTCCAAATGCATGGCCTGGCCCCGCCCAGGCCACGCCCCCTTTATAGAAGCTACCCGCGGGTTTCCAGTGTGCCCCTTCCGCGACCTTTCCCCTAGATCCCCCTCTGGTGTATCACCTGGCCTGCCGCTGTCAGGGCTGCTGTATGCTGTATATCCCCTTCCCTGCCAGCAGCCAGCACTATGCTGCTACATAGCTAATTCTATGTCACTTCACATGTATGGGTTCGATCCTGACCCTCACGCCTGTATATTTCTAGTTTGCATGTTCTTCCCATTTAGAAACATACATTGGAGAGTATTTGGCTGCTATAAATCCCCACATGATATCATTTGTAGCCAGGTCGCTTCTGAAAAAGAGCTATATAGCTCAGTGGGTCTTACCTGGTAAAATTAAAAGTTTAGTTTACGTATAATGGGTAAAACATCTATTTTAATTCATAAATTATTAATTGAATGTTTACATACATGAAGCTATCAAGGATTAATACACTGCAAAGACGTTAAAATCGCGTTCGTAACAATGGCATTGATAATGTGGTGCCACAGCACCGAAATTCGCTCCGTCGGAGCCGTGCCTGCAACTGTGATGCCGCAGCAGCGAAGCCGTCCTGCCGACGCTGTGGCCGCGACGCCGCCACCTCCGAGCGACGGGGCCGACGCTGCTCTTCCCTCACCACCCCCCACATGAACACACACACACCTCCACATAGAGCCCCGAAGGGAGGTCACCTGGCCGACAGGTTTTCACCCAAAAGCCCTCTCATGGGACCAAACTTCATGGTTTCCTGCGACCAGGGAATTGGGCGACCTCCCCCGAGGCTAACGTGCACCGCGGCGCCGTGACTTGGGTTGTAATTACATGGTCACGACGGGGCTGCTGAGCCACCGCGGATAGAAAACACCCACAACACACACAGGTCAGCAGGCAGGTAGGGGGGACGGAGTCACGAACGGCGGGAAAGAAGACAGGGCCAGTCCTCTGATTGGTAGGACAGATGAGCTTGTTTAGAGGGTGAAAAGCGGACGTCTGAGAGAGCACCGATCCGGGGAGAGTGGCGGGAAAACTGAGCCACCTGATTGGACGGGAGGCCAGCGGATCAGCGCCGATTTATTTTTGATGTAGAGGACAATAAAAAGGGTAGAGAAGGTAGGGAGAGTTAGTTCGTGTTCTACTCAAGCCAGCGCTCGGGGCGGTCGACTTCCCAGCCACTCGAACGTCTGTGTGACGAGTCGAAGTGCGGCGAGGATCCGACCCAGCAGCTCCGTACGAGTCGAACCGTGAGTACCCAAGAGTGAGACATTGAGGCCATTGGGAGATTGTCTTAGGAGAGTGATTTGAAAGAGGCGATACGGATCGGGTATTAGACCATCGGGAGATAGGTTAGACCTGCCCTGCTGACTCAAACTGACTCAGGTAATTTAACCTCGGACTCGCTGAGAATAAACTGCTGGGGATCAATAAACCTTGTCGTGTGGTTTCTGCGAGGGTGGAACGGATGCATGTTGGCGTGCATCGTTGTACCCTGTTTGTGTGCAAGGATGTATTTACCCACGTGTTTGCGCTCGCCCATGCGTGTAGCTCGTGGTTAGCGTGTGCGTGTGGTGCGGACTCGTACAGGGCACGTGAGATTACTCATACGCCCTTTCGTTTAAATGTGTGCGTGAGGCTAACGGGCGGCGTACACGCGAGATTATTCGTGCAGCCTTTTCTTTAGCGTGTGCGTGGGGTGAACGGGCGGCGTACCTGTGAGTTTGTTCATACAGCCCTTTAAATAAATCTCCGAGACAACCCCCCAATCGGCTGCGCGTGTGCGAGTGACGTCCCTGCCCTCTGACCCCCGACCCCGAGTCCCGCGCGCGCGATTGGTGCGTGGCACGGGAGAGGAGCGAGGTCGGATTTCGAGTGAGTAGGTGTGAGTGAGTGTGCGCGGAGATTGTGTGAATTGATCTCAGGTGGCTAAGCGCCAGCCACGAATCATGCCCTGAGGGGCCGCAGCGAAGGGGGGTCGGTGAGCAGTAACCCCCCCCAGGACACGGAAGAGGGGAGCAGTGGATCCCACCTGAGCGAGGAGACGGGGGTCAGCCTCCCCAACAATAACTATTTTAAGGTCTGTGATAGCACATTTAATAAATAGGTTTAACACCTATTTTTAAAGTTACAATTTCATTGCGTGCCATACACCTGATACATCAAAATAAATAAAGTTGCCACGTAAACAAATGCGCAAATATATATTTTTAAAGTTTATTGGTTCATGAATGTACTTTATTTTGCAGTAATTGGTAAAATAAACTAAGTGCAGTTCAAAGGCAAGGTACATTTTTTTAAAAGTTACAATAAAAAGTAGCAGCATTACATCAACAGTTTCACACTAAAAATAACCACAAGTTGAAATAAGCCATAATAAGCCCCTTATTAGAAATGCACGAGTTTCTTTGGCCCACAGTCGTGATTCTGCATTTTCTTAAGGAAATATGAGGAGTATAACATATCACCATCTTTGCAATTATATATTAATATTCAAAATGTCGAATATTTACCAAGGAAAGCCTCATTGGGTGTAAAGACCCATATTTAGGAAAGTACTCCATTGGGATGTTTGGTTGATTCCATTAATGGTTTAATCCAGGAGGATAACTGGGAAAACCCCCACCATGCATACGAGGAGTTGACAGCCATCACCAACCTACTTTGTAGCCCCATGCCTACAACACCTGGAAACCCCAGGTGTTCACTCATTAAAATACTTACCAAGCTAATTCCGACTTAACTTCTGAGATTTGATGAGATTAGGCACATTTCGAGTGATATTTGGTCATAGGCGTTGACTTGCCGTAATCCAGATGTGCGTTTTATATCCAGAAATCAATTACTTTTTTACATTGTGAATAAAACGCCCTATAGAGACTGGAGGAGTCATCTGAAGCCATTACATCCAAAATATGCAACAACAAAAAATACAGGTTCTGACACAATTTGATACTTCAAAATGTAACTTAAAAATCAACATTAATCGTTGAATCAATTCATCATTACACCCCTTAAGATACAATAAAATTATTCTCTAAAAGGCCACCATTATACCAGCAACCACACAATAGCTGTCCATCCAATGACGTAAGCATCAGTGGCAAAGGCCCAGGTGCTAGAAAATTATTGGGGCCCGCCATCTAATTTCTATCCTCTTTGTGGCCCGTTGCATGGGAACGTTCAGCCCATGGACTCCAATAAAGTTTTACTTCCTGCACACTCGATAGCTACGCCACTAGGTCCAACCCATAATAGTTAAATCGGTCGATAGTCTTGTTTTTTTAGGAAAAAGAGAAAGCCGAAAGCTTCATTTGTGTCTCATTGATCCATTTTCCTGTTATCCACAATCTCCCATCATTCAGACAGAAGGCTGCAGACGCGAGATATGTCTCCAGAGCATTCATCAAGAATTTGTTGCAGGGCTTGTTCGTTGTACCATGGAAATTTATCCCGCAGCTGGGTTATGTCGGAGCTTGCCACATCACTGGGGAAAAATAAAACAGCACTTGGGAATGTATGTTGATTAACATATGAATAACCCAACCAGTAATGGATACCCATTGTAATTTATATGCATTCATTAACTCCCCCGCTCTGGCCTTCGTACGTGAAGGGCTCTCAAGTGACGCAAATCACATCGATCCCTCTATTTAAGGAACGAAACAGGAGGATTTCTCCACAAATATGGCTGTCACCTGATGATGCTAGCTGTAATTACTGGCGAAACTTTGTACTCAGATTGTAAATGTTGTGGATTTACGCTCCAACACCGGTGTGCTGTACTAGTAACGAATCGGCATGTTCTGTTTACGTGACAAACCTTACTAATTGGCTTTATCGGGTGGTGGTGGGTTTAACGACACTTTATATTTACGTGCTCTAACCCAAAAAACCTGTATTATGGAGGAGCTACTGCGCAGCATCATCATCATTTAAGGTAATTTCATTTACAAATTATTATTTAGGAATAGGTTTTACCCTTTTAACTGGCACAAAAACTGACACCTTTATTCAAGGCATCATGTTTGCATGATGCCTTGAATAAAGGTGTCAATAAAGGCGTCTTCTGGTCCAACACCAATTGAGACTAGGCTCTAAGAAAAGCTGTCTCGGGTGTGGACCAATCAAATTCAAGGACAGTGCATATTATTATCAGAGTTGTCTTTTTTGTTTGCATTTTAACTGCTTGTGTTGTGATTATTGCAAACATGATGCCTTGAATAAAAGTGTCAGTTTTTGTGCCAGTTAAAAGGGTAAAACCTATTCCTATATCTTGTTTCTGGCAAAGGAGGTCTCATAAACTATTATTTCACAAGTTAATGTTATATTTACTTTATGTTTATTAGACCTAATTTTTTGTTATGATAATTTTCGTGTTTTTAATATCTTATTTAAGTATTTATTTAAGGTAATTCACTAAAAATAAAGGTTTTCGTATGCCAATGTCATTATCCGCAAAAAAATGCTATTTACGAGCATCTCTGAAATGTATCCCTCGTCCAAATAACAAGGAAATACTGTATTGAATTATTTTCACAAAGGAGCGACATATTTCCTTAAAACCAGACCACCGGCAATGCACCCGATCTCAATGGCTGTCAGAAGCCAATGAGGATTGAGCCTGGTTTGTGTTTAGATGGATAACCACAATGCACAAATACGTTGTCATAAGTGGCTGCGGGGCCATGAGGTGGATGGCAGAGCAAAATCCAAGCTCCCACCTCTACAAATCCACACTTGACTAGTGTGGTGATGTATAGTATAAAAAAAACCCACAACCTATGAACATGGCGTGGCGAGCCCTCATCTTGAAATGGATTGACAAAACACCCATACATGAGCTCTACATCACAGAGCCCACGGCTCATTCACTCACGCACTCCCTCCTCCTCATATTAACTTACTTTCTGCTGCTGAAGCTGTCCAAGGGCCTGGAATCAGCACCACTGCTCCTCCACACTCCTGCGCAGTTATGCAAATATTCACAGGAACATTCATATGGGCATGGGCAGCTCAGCTTCACCACAGCCTGAAGGTGTGTATTCAACGTTGTTGGTAATGCAAGGTCTTCAATCAAGCCAAAGCCGAATATGCTGGAGTGACAAACCAAACTTAGCGTGACCTTTACTGTCATTTGTAGACCGAGACGGTAAACTCGTTATATTTGAGATTTTGATTTAATCCCAGGTGGCTGAAACCTGTATTCAAACACATAACCTGCCTCCATGCTTTGGCACGTATTATCCAGGTTAACCACACCACCACTTCCCAGTGTTCTGCTCCTGGATGCTCAACCAATTCTCTATTTTTTCATTACGAGTGAGATAACACCAGAGAGCCAAGAAAATAACCCACACATGTGAGAAAAGAGCAAACTCTGCACAGATAACTCATAACCAAATCAGATAACACTCGATGCTGACATTACCCGTGGCTGGGAATGTTACTAGGATTACAATCAGAATAGTTATTTATACTGGGGGAATATGAGCTATAAAGGTATTTTTCAAAATGCCTAGGAGCAAGTCAGAACGTTACAACACCCAACAATCCGAAAACATGATAGGAATTCAAAGTATAGAAAGGTAAACATCACTTCAAAATATATTGCCTGGTTCATCGTGCAGAACACAAATCACTGCACTGTTGCACCCAATAATGACACCAGTTTTGATAAATACAGTGCATGATAGAAATGAAAATGATGACAAATACCTATTTTGTCTCCGTCTTTAAAAGGGGGAGTGCTGCTCTCTTCATGCCAGGTGCCTTCGCACTGTGGTATGTCGGCCGTTTCTCCACTGCGTCGGCCTTCCAGCCTGTCCAGGAACGCCTGATTCGCTCTGATGATCAAATAACCAAATCAGTCTTCAGTATTTATTCGGGACGCCGCCATAGTGTAATGGTTAGCCCCCCATAGGTTGCCGCTTTGATTCCAGATCTATTAAGTGATCTGACCACAAATGATCGTTCAACAATGTGGCTTATCACGTAGAAATTTCGAGCAACTATAGAATCAATTGCATGTTTACAAATGTAGAGTGGAAAACTGGAGGACCCAGAAAAAATCCACGTGTCCCATGGAGAGAACATGCAAACTCCAAATATACAGGTGTCATGGTTGGGATTAAATCCATGACCTGTATGCCAGACAAAGGAAGATAACAAGTTGTCTGGCCGGGTTTGCTGAGAAGGACAAAATGTGCACAAGAGGCTTTCATGAGCTACCTCTAGGCCCTTCCACCAACAGCGTTGTGAATAATCAATGCATGGCTGCACCTTTACCTTATTTAACCTTGTATTATGAAGGTGCAATCAGAGGGCGAGTCATAATCTCTTTTGCTCGACACCGAGTAAATTTAGTTTTGATTGAAAATATTGCATCTTTCATAGAAATTACTGGGAAACATTCGGCCCAAAAATACCCATCAGCTGATGGATCAATTTTATTTCATATTTGCAAAGTGAAACAGGCCCTTGTCTGTTTTTAAATTCGTTCATTTTATTCAATCCGTTTTTGCATAAATACCGTGTAAGTAAGATCACTCTCTCTCGCACCTCCTGTGATCCATCTGCATTTGCCGAGCTCTCTCATTCTCTTCGGCTTTCTTCTTTTCCTCCAAATATTCTGCCTGGAAATGAGAATTAAAAAAAAATGTGATCACACTCATCCCAATAGCTCACCGACAGTAGATATAGCATAGGGAAAAAAGCAATTTCCATGCCTATTTATCACCGCATGTAATGACTTCGCCAAAACCTTCGTCCCGACAGTTCTGTTCCTTCACTTGAAGAAGGCTACTTGTGTTGTGGCCGAAACGTCGTGAGAATTTTATTTTTTATTATGTTTTATTTTTATTATTTTATTTCCATTCTACGTGACTTTGCTGAAAGAACCAAGAAGGAGAACTTGGAAGCTCTGAATAAAACGTCGCTACAAAGTGTTGTGTAGATAATTGGGATATAAAGGTGCGTGTGATGGGTGCGACGTGTGTACAGGATAGAATGTCAGGTTACTGAGAGAGGCATTGGAAGGGGTCAGTGAACAAGGGAAGAAACAAAAGCCAGTTGGCCTATGGTAGAGGGAGTACTGCAGTGTGCACTTTATTCCAGTGGTGTTCATCCTCATGTGGTGTTCATCCTAGTTGGACGGTATTTATAAATTAATATTGATTCATTTTGATCATAAGAATAGACCTTGAAGGTGAGCCATTGACTGTACAACAGTGGTGCCCAAAATGTGAATCACGATTTATGGATGGATCGGAATTTTTATTGTGGCTCTCAGGACAAATGTCAACAAATGTTGGCATAAGCGTACAACAAATTTAGTTACGGATCATGGAAAACAAATCACTAAGAATTATTTGTACAGGTTTCCCTCGCTGAATGCAGGTTCAGTTTTTCTGATTTTGCATATATGCGGCTCATCTATTTCTACCCAAATTTTGATATACAGTATGCTGTTTGAATTCACTCACATGCGGCTATGCAGTCAGACGTGGGACAACATTGTATGTACTACTATATGCACTACTCAGCAGGCAGCTGTTTCGTGCGGCGCATTGTGAGGTGAGTGACTGCAGTTTATGCTATGTTATCTCATGGCGCGTGCCGTGTTAAATTTTGTGAACACGGAAATCCGATTTCTTTAAATGAAAAGTGGCCATAATTTGTCAATTGTGTTAACGCAAAAAATGTGTAAACCAAATGTTCTTAAATCGAGGGATACCTGTATATTAAAGATAATATAAGATCTACCAATAGATGGCGCCAATATTTTGTCTACTGTATTGTATACAGTATTACAGGGTTAAATTAATGATGGATAATTGTTGGTCATAGTTTTCTGGTGGATGGCAGTTCCCATTTGGATCCACTAACATGGATCAGAGTGCTTGGCGTGTTGGCCACTGCTGCTGTACAACAACTGAACCTTATGGCGGGACCCCAGGGTCCCATAAGCCCCCCGGCTCTTGCATGAACTGCGTTGCGATGTCATTTTATGTCTGAAGGCAAACGATATGGCAATCTATTCCTCTCGACGAGCTCTACATGATGTACTAATCAAAGTTTCAAAGTTTTGTTTATGACTACGGCAATTTTGGCAACGACGGGTGCTTGGTGAAGAACGAGAGGATTTATTTCTGGTGGGTCATGGCGTTTATGTGCACGGTGGGATGGAGTCGCCAAAAAGAAATACATTTATTACGATTTTTACTTCTGTTTATTGGGGACCCCGGGGTCCCGCCATAAGGTTTAACTATTGGATTGAGAAGGAAGGACGAAATGGTCAGGTATGTTGGCATCACCACCATTGGCTGTGATGGTTACACTTGAGTGGTTAGTGAGAGAGGACTGTGTTGTTGAGAAAAGGCTGCTTTGCTGGGAGCTGGAGGGTAATTTATAAATCCATACCTTTCTTCTCTGTGTCTCCTTTTTCAGTCTGTGTGCCTCCTCTTCCTCCTTCCGCTGGGAATCTCTGTAGTCCCTGAATTTACTCCTAGCCTGAGCAAATAACACATTCAATCACCATTCATTTAAATTCCAATAAAAAGAAACCACAAAACTTAAAATGTACTTACAATACTTATTTGGAATCATTTTTTCTAGTCAGAGGCAGCTGTAAGGCTAAGTGGTAAACAGCAGAGGACATTGCAACAGCATCCATTGTTCTATACTTCTCTGTGCTCCTGCCCTTCACCAACTCACACTGACTAATGTGGTGAAGAATCGATAAACAAACCCCATCACTAGCATTGCCTTAAAACTTACTGACATTTATCTATGGGACCTTTTTTCCAACATCAAAACTATGAAAAACAATAGGCTTCATGTTGTGGCAATAACACAAGTGTTAAGATGCTCAAACACCAACTAGACACCTATTACAAGGCATGAAGTCTGCATTAACCACAGATGCTTGTAAAATATGCAAACAAACATGCTCTGTTGGTTAATGCAGACTTCATGCCTTACAATAGGTGTCTATTTGATGTTTTAAAATCTCTTGTGTTATTGCCAGATAGGGTCAAGCCTATTCATTTTTACTGACATTCTTCTTATGAGGGTGCACTGAAGGAAGTAAAATGTGAGGAGAGATGGTCAGTAAAATTATTGTTGTGATGTTAATTAATGTCCTCATCCTGCAGTCGATGGTCAAAAGGGCTGTATACCTTTCACAATACTGTTATGAAACACAAATGACTGCACTGGATTTTGCACTGAGAATCAAATATAGTGCCTTACCATGGCTGTGTCTGCTTGAGGCCCTTTAGCAGTGTCTTTTTGGCTGCTCCACTCAACTTTGTTCAAGAAGTGCTCATTGGTCCTGGGGAAAAAAGTGAGGACAAATATGAGTTGTTCATCAAACCTTCTCTCACACCTGAAGCTCGCAGGACAGTAATGATTTGCTCATGCCACTGTTGGGGGGAAGAGCTTCGACTAGAGCAGGGGTCGGCAACCTGCGGCTCCGGAGCCTCATGTGGTTCTTTGGCTTCCCCATTGTGACTCTTTGGCTGCCCCCTTGTGGTTGTTTGGCTTCACCCTTGTGGCTCTTTGGCTGCCTCCTAGTGGCTGTTTGGCTGCCCCCTTGTGGCTCTTTGGCTTCCCCCTTATGGCTGTTTGGCATCACCCTTATGGCTGTTTGGCTTCACCCTTGTGGCTCTTTGGTTTCTCCCTTGTGGCTCTTTGACTGCCCCCTTTGCAGGCAGCCATTTTTTCACTTAAATCTTAAGCAAAATTTAGCAGAGATCATTTATTAAATATGGCATGGAATGGGACGCGATGGAATGCTCTGGTGACGACAAAATATACAGTTAAACGGTGTTCTTAAACAATAACGAAGGGGGGAAAAACTAAATAGATGCAGTTTATTCCATAACATATTTGTTCATTTTCGTCAAAAAAATTGGCACCTGCTGTGTTAGCTCGTGTGGTGCGGCTCTTGAAATATTTTTGTCAAAGATAACAAAAAATGGCTCTTCTTCTTTGAAAAGTTGCTGACCCCTGTACTAGAGGGAGCTACAGAGAGTCCCTGGATAAGATATCTTGCCCTATTCGTCAATGATGGCCTGCCAATCGATTAACTGTGGTGAACTCAACTGTACAGCTGAGTGGACACCCCACTGTTGCAACTGTCGTGCCGACAGATCAAACTTGCGACTTCAGTACTTAATATTTGAGTACAAAAATAATATAACTTTATAGGCTTTTGTCAGGCCACTGTTGGATGAAGGCCTCCAGATAACACATAAGTCATTGGGATTGTTTGACCATACTTCATCGCGCTGGTCAGTGCGTGTTTGTGGGATGAAGGGTCTGGGGCCAGTTCAGCTATCACTCACCAATGGTGTAAATTGTCACTACAAATCCACGTTTGTCTCTCCAGTACTGATGTTAAAAATCGCAGAAGGTACTCATTTAAGGCAGGGTTGATCTCGGGGAGGCCCAGAACCATTGATGGAACTCAGTTTAACACGTAGGCTTTCACGACCAATATTATCCATGATAAAGTTTTTTTGGGTTACATCGCGTAAATATAAATTCATGGTTGATAGAACTCATACCAGCTTCTTTACATCTTCTGTACAGCTAGAAAAAGGTCTCTTAAGGACTCGTCGGTGAAGTTTTATTGCGAGTGATTGTACCGGGAGTGATCCATTGCGAATGATCTCCTCCTTTGGGCATCTCTCTGCTTATGTCGAATTTCTGCTTCTATAGCCTAATAAATGAGCACACACACACACATGACAATGGACATTGGTACTTTGAAATAAATAATGAAATAACAAATGTTATACATACACGTTTATGACAAGTTTTTTTTTATAAATGAGAAAATAATTTCCATTTGGTTGAAATTTTGCTTAACAATAACATGCTAGGAGATAAAGAAATGTCAATATCGAACTCCTGAAAATCAGTGTATTGGTCTATGTTAGAAAATGGTGTGTGCAAGGAGACATCATGGAACTAGTTTGAAGATTTATTGACTTACCTGTTATCCTTTGGGGGACTGGCAGCAGGGTGGGGGAGATAGAGCCCTGAATTTTATCATGTGAAGTGCTTTAGTTATATCTGTCAAATGGCAGTCAATCTACAATACCTTGCTAATCTTGTCAAGGAGCAAAAACCATCACACAAACTCCAGTCTTGCTCGCAGCAGTTTTTGGCTAGCCTTTGAACAAAGATGGTGACCGCATGGCATGGTGCAGCCATTCGGAATGCTGTTCTTTCCGATAAGCCACTGGAGTTATGCACTGTAAATCTAGATTGAAAACTCATTTCTTTATAAATGTTTGTGTTTAGTTTGTTGTCTCCCCTCACCTCCAATTAGCACAGTTGGCTATGTACGTTGTGAAATAAGTTCAATATACAGTACATGCATCCAAAATGTAGGCTTCAGAGCTGTAGAATTATGCAAAATAAGTGAAAACCAAATGTTATATAATGGGTTTTTGTGCAGTCATTGTTCACCAGACTGAGACCAGCAGCCTCAATACACTTGAGAACCTGGTTTAAACACAGAGGTGGCTGACACCGAAATAAGACTCCAGGATTTTGCTCTGGTCTCACCTTCTGCCTCTGAATGTCCTTCTTCTTCTGGAACTCGGCCTCATCCTGGGCTCTGCGGCAACGCTCACGCTCCTCGCGATCCATCTGTTACCGAGCGGCGAGACAGACACATTCAGGAGGCCGAGAAGCCTCTTGGCGAATAACGATGCTTCGACTCGTCACATGAAATTGTTTATTACACGTCTTATTACACTATTTAACACTATTTTTGTTCCAGGGTAGTAAGTGTTATTTCGTAATTGCTTATGCCTAAAAAGTATAGAAAATGGCTATTATTCCCCACAAACCTTGCTTTTGTGACTCCGACAGTGATATTTTGAAATTGATCTATTTTCAATGAGAAAACGGGCGAATTTGTGACTTTTTGCTCACATAAAGTCAGAAAAAAACAACATGAATCTAAATTAATGTGTATTTATACTAGAGTAATACAAAAATTACTACGAAAGATTTAGACACCAATGCGCACTACCCTAGGCGGGATTCATGTTGCTTTTTTCTGACTTTATGTGAACAAAAAGACACAAATTCGCCCGTTTTCTCATTGAAAATAGGTCAATTTCAAAATATCACTGTCCTGGTCACAAAAGCAAAGTTTGTGGGGACTCCATACTCTATAGGGACTAATAGCCATTTTCTGTACTTCTGAGGTATAAGCAATTAGGAAATAACACTTACTACCCAGGAACAAAAAAAAATGTTCCACACTTTTATCAAGCCATACATCAAATATGTGAATATTTTTTTTACGATGAATGGAAATTATAGGCAAATTATATGCTTAAAAATTGCATTTAGGATAAATGTACAGCCCTTTGTTAATCCAGTGATGAATGATAACCCCCAGGCTGATCACTGCGGGTTGGTGAAAGCGTGGATAGGCATATTTATATGTTATGCTCATTTGCCCAGGAAAGCCTCATTCAATCTCGTGGCTTTTTTCAGGAGGGTCCTTCCAAGTGTGACCCGTGCCCACTGCACCTCGATCTTTACTGGCCTTGACTGTTAGACGACACCGGGTGGTCATCAATAAATGATTAAATAAAAGTTTTGGTAGCACTCCCGCATTTTTTTCCTTGGTTCCACTGCCAGATCTTCTTTTTCGTAAACTGCGAAATGACCTGCTCTCACTCCCAACACCGGCCACGTGCACACAAGCACTTTCTGTAAACTTAATGTGCTAGCGTCACGATTGGTCCTCAATACGGGCCTCCCTCTCTTCAAGATCCCAAGAGATTATATCTTACCCTATTAATTTTACAGATTTTAATTTATGTTAAAATATAAAAATTCAAGAATTAACTAATTTTTCAAGTTCACTAATATCTACTGTATTACAAAGCATAAATGGGTTCATGATTATTTATATTATGAAGGATGGCTACTGTTAAATTGTAATAGTTAAGCTAAATTTATATGCCAACTAACCTTATCCAGTGGTCACATGACTCTGACAATTGAGTTACGTGCCTGCCTAACGTTCATTTTACGAAGAGCATGGCCTAACATACCGCTCATCTATCCTAAGCGAATCGTAACTCCGCAACATACACAACGTTTAAACCCCACTAATTACACCCTCTCTAACACGATAGTGTGAATATATGCGCCATTTAATAGTAACATAACCACACTGGTTCCACAAGTTTTCACAGTAATAATAATTATTATTTACTTCATAAGGTGCCCTTAAAGAACAGATCTCAAAGTGCTATGCATTTAAAGGCGGAAAATAAGTAGCCATCAAGAGAGAGGTAGCCATCAAGTAATTTTCAGGTTAAATTTGGACCATGAAGCCAGCACACAGTGGACTACTCTTTTGCGGATGACGTCACGGGATCTTTGACATCCACTGTGAAGCAGACAGCGCATAATATTAGTATGATAATTACAGGTGCTGTGCAAGTTATGTTGTGGGCAGCAGAGGGCAGTGCAGGAATAAATCCACTGCTGTACTTTACTTCAATGCCCCTACGCCTACGCTGCCCACATTCACCAACCAGCACTGACCAGCATGGTGAAGCGTAGTGGAAAAACACCGCCTATGGCCCGTACAATGTGGGTGAGCCTTCATCCAGCAGTGGATTGAAAAAGAGCCGTACATGTGCGTGTACACGGCAATAAGTAGCCGATTGGGCCTTTTCACAAAGGGTGGAGGTCGCATGGGTATGATATCCCCACTGAGGGTGTGTGTGAACGAGCAGTGTGCTGCAGGAACCTCTCACCCTGGCTTGGATCTTGGCTCGGCTCGTCGTCAGCTGCTGATTCTTTCGCACCTCCCCCTCCGATAGGGATCCGCCTGTGACCATGACCGCGCCAGTCAATGACAAGCAAAGGGGGCACTATTTTCAGCAATCATGGATGTGGACCGTGAAACTGTTACCTTGGGGCCCTCTCCAGCGAAGTTTTCACTCACACAGCAATATGCCACGTTCCACTGTCAGCATGTTTAGTTCATTTCTAAAAACATTTTGTTTAACCAGGTGAGAATTAAATGATAGGCTCATTTGTAAGAGTGGCGTTGGGCATTAGTCTGCCAGTGGGTGTGATTATTGCAAGGTATGATCCCAATTGAGAAAGTTGCGGTAAGTCTCACATTTGGAAAATTTAGGCCCCGACTCCAGCACACAGTGCCTACTCTTGGGAATGACATCACGGCGTCTCTAATATCCTCTGTGAAGATGGCATTCAGTATTCAAATGGTTAATACACCCGCCGTCAAAATCAGGGTGACCACTCGATTCGACCTTTGGACCTCTGTAACAAGCGACAAATGTGCTCCCGCTAGTCCACTTCACCGACCATGTAAACAAACAGCATGCCGAGTTCGTGTTGAGTCACATCTGTGATCCACCACTTCAGAAGCAAAGGTCGGTGGAAACCACGGGTTTGTGAAGTAACTGATAGCATGCTGTGAACGAGCTTTGACACAGCTGCTGTGGTGTGATGTTAACTCCCTCGCCTGGTATAGAGAAGGTCGTGGGTTTGATCCCGACCGATACCTGTATATTTGGAGTTCTCTGGTATTTTTCCTCCACATTTACAAACATGTGTTTCGAGTATTTAGCTGTTATACATTTGAACGTTATGAGCCACTATGTTGCACTCTCATTTGTGGCTAGGTCGCTTCTAAAAAAGATCTATATAGCTCAGAGAACCTTACCTGGTAAAATAAAACCTGTTTAGTTTCGTTTATAGTTTAATCGTTTCATTTATCTGCTCCACTATTATTTGCAACCAAAAACTCAGTGGAAATATTCACTGTATCTTATTCAGCCAGGCGATGGTGGTGCACGCCTTTAATCCAGTCTCTTAGTAGGCAAGGGTTGGTGGATCACACAAATGTTGCAAAACTCCCTTCCCATGGTTGTCGAGGTGCCATATTCTGGCTTGCAAGGAGAATGCAGTACAGCAAAGTGCAACCTAAAGTAATCTTTCCCATCTTTATGGTACAGACTGCTAGAGTGTTGCCGCCTTGCACGTGCAGGTTTTCTCCGGGTGTATACAAACTCATTAATTGGCTGAAAACATCATAGTATGTATATGCTATTTCGTGGGTTGTGGATTGTGCAGCATTGTGAGATTCAGTTTTCATGAGTAATGCTCTATAAAAAACGTATTATGATCACTTTTATCACCACGCAGACATGTGAAACTCGCAAACAGGCTGGGCTTCTAGGTTTCCAAGTGATGGCAGTACCCAGAGTGCGTTATTGGATCCATCTACGCAGATCTTTAAATGGTATTCCCTCACTGTGTGGGTCTTCTGTGGGTGATTCAGTTTCCTCCAACACACAAAACAGGCATGAATGGAATCGGCCAAAGATCAGAGGGCAGGACCCTCTGGAAAAACAGTCTTGACAGTCATTGAGGGTTTCCTGAATAAATGGACGTATTGGCGGTACACTGGTGCAGCATAACACACCAGTCCTCATTAAACAGTCTAAAATCTAAATTTTAACTGACATTCACCTTCCAACTGCTTCGACATCATGAGAACTGATTTTGACACACCCTGCAAGATGTTATGACCAGGATTGCGAATCGCAGGAAAATAAATTATTATTGCGAAAATATTGCTTTTTTTATACCACGCATCAGTGTACCTACCACCAATATGTAAAGAATGCTGAGTATAGCTATTTATAGGGTGGAGCGGTAGCACAGTGGTTAGTCCACGGTTCCCAAATCCCTATGTGATCAAACAACCCTTCTTGCCTTCAAATCGCTTGATCACAGGCATGTCCCACTGCATCCAAATGATTTGAATTAAAGGGGAACGTGCAGGGCTTTATTATGGCAGAGTGTGAGGGAAACGGAGATAGAAGGAAGTGTTTAGAGTGCGTCAGTGTGCAATACGATCCTGCATCCATTGTACAATGTAATGAGTCGGTGGTGGTGCCAGCCTATTGGGGGCTATGAGCTGGAATTAAATAAATAAAAATATGCCGCAAATGCTACGGAAGATAAAATATAACACGTGTACTTTCATTTACTAATTGCAACTATTTTAGGCGCATATTATAAAAGATGAGAGTTAATACATTTTATATATAGATCTGAGTTCTATTTTTAGTGAACCATCTCCTTTCATGAATCTGCGGATTCGTGACCTATTTTGGGTCCCGACCTTTTTGCTTAGATTCCCTATGCCTCCACTGTTGGGAGCTGTAGCCACAGTGTGGTTAATTATTTGTGTTGTAGTGATGGATACATTGCTCCAAATCCATGGAGTCCAATGTGCACACCCTCGGGAGTAGCAAGCGTTGGATTTTAACAAAACTCACCGACGTGTGATGGGGTGATGCGTACTCCCACAGCCCTCCTCTCGCTCCGCAACCGGTCCAACGCTGCCTCCTCCTCCGCCGCACCTTTATAACACGCGTGCGGGGAGAGTTGGCTAGCTCACAGTACCATGCCATCTTGTTTGTTGTTGTTATTTCACACCAATGTAACTCCAGATAATGCATTCGGGGGGAATTATCTGCAGTTATAGGTGCAGGGCTGAAAATACTTCGTAATGCGATGGACGGAGGAAGTTGCCTCCACTAGGCTTCCACTAGAGGGACAGACCCTCTTCTAGAGGGTATTTTTGTTACATATATCAAATGATTCAGATTCTGAAGCTAACTAACCTCAGTTGCTCTTGATATAAGATAAGTTCTAAAATGGGTTTGATGGACTGAAACAAATCTCGATGCATAGACACCACATGTAAAAAAAACATTAAAATTGTGCATTATTTTTTATTTCACCAACAGTGCACCAAACCTGGCACCGTGGATGTGATCACATCGCCATAACTGTGTGGTGAATTAATTAACTTGTTTCCATATGAATCAGTATGTGTGCAGGTATACATATAAATGCACTGCATTTTGTTTTTTCTATCGAAATCAACGTATCCAACTGTGCTGATCATAGGTGGGAGTACCCACACTATAACCTGCCACGCACAATCTGCGAATCGACTATAAATTTACGATTACGTTGTTTTTGTTTAAATCGAAAGCCTACGCGTTAAATCGACTGACTTATTATATAAGAATAATGATTTGCATGTGTAATGAGAGAGCGCCATCTAGTGGGCGCCAAGGGGTAACTGCACGGGCACTATCGGGTAACCGGTATCCAATCCTGAGCGGGGATTATATCTGGGCCAAAGGTAACGGGCAGAGTCAGAGAGAATGTTCGGGAACCATCGGGAAGGTTCCACGAGGGGGCGTGGCTAGAGGCGGGGCTTAGCTCCACCGGGAGGAATATAAGCAGAGGCAGGGGAGGACTCTTGGTCGGTGTGGGAAGCCTCGAGTTCAGACTGCGTCGCTGCTCATCCTCTCCTCACCATCAACCACGTGGCGGACCCCGGACACGCCGCCAGTCGGTGGCGGGATCGGAGAAAGAGGGTGGCGGACCTCATAGGTGGGACAAAGAGAACGCCTCGTCCATGGCAGTGATAAGGGGAAATAAGAGAAGGAGCGGAGCTGTGTAGTAATTCAGTTAATAAAAAGACACCATTCAAGACTCGTCGTGCAAGTCGTTTATTACACATGTTTAAATGCCCTATTGTCATTCACACCTTCTGTTGCTGGCCACGTTGTGTTCGAGGTCTTTTGAGCCCTTGCTTAATATCTATGATTTAAAAAAACAGTGATGGCAAAACAACTTACGTGTCTTCAGACGCTGGTACTTCTCTGCATTAGGCGTCAGCATAGTGTACACTCCTTGTCTGCCGCGACAAAAATAAAGAAACATCCCCCGTATAGCCTGAAGATACTGTTGGGGCAAGAGCTGTTAGTGAATACCTATAAAGGCAGCCACGGCATACGAGGTGGTTGGTCAGCACCACGCCCGGCCACCTTTGTCTCCCTTGTGGCGATGTTTACACACGACACCAGGTACTCATTTGAGGCTGAGTCGACGTCACCACCACCCACCCCTCCAAAGACAAAGATCTACCTTATAGCCTTAACAGGCTGTTGGGGAAAGTGCTGTTATTAAGCACCTATGAAGGCCGGCACGGAACACGAGGGGGTGGGTGGCCAACACCACGTCCGACCGACTTTGTTCTCCCCAGTGGTGATGCTATCACACACCGCACCCCGTCCTGATTTGAGGCTGAGTCAGCCCAGGGGAAGCCCAGGACCTGTTCAGATAATCGTCAATGGTGTTAGCCGTGAGCGGGAATCGAACTCTGGTCGTCGGGTTCGTAGTGCAGCTACCGCTCCCCAACACCACCCACCCACCACCACCACCTCACCTGAGGGCAACTTGAACCCCAGCTCAGCTACGTACGAGACACGCCTACCGGACAGTGCGGGGTTTGTACCGCGTCACGGACTCGTCATTTCACGGTAGCGGACGAGTGTTTACTCGCAGAGCGAGACGAAGATATGTAGGCACGCAGAGAGTGAGACAGACAAATCGAGACATACATGGAGATACAAAGAGACAAAGATCCCCCTATAACCTTATCAGACTTTTGGGCTAAATGCTGTCAGCGAGCACGCGAGAGACTGGGTGGCTAGCACCCCGCCCGGCCGCCTTTGTCTCCCTAGCGGCGATGTTTACACGCCGCACCAGGTACATTTGAGACTGAATCGACCCAGAGGAAGGTCAGGACCGGTTCAGATAATCGTCACTGGTGCTGGGCGTGAGCGGGAATCGTATCACACGTACAATACATACTTAAGAGACACAGATGGAGACACAAAGACACGTACATGCACGGACATTCAGAGACACACGAGGACTCGGAGAGATGTACTGAGAGGCTCGGTGACACAATGAAACAAATAGACACAAAGTCACTAAGAGACCGAGATGGCTACGGAAGGTCAAAGAAACAAACGCAGAGACAGACGGAGAGGCGCTCAATCATGACAGGGACACGAGATCATCACAGCTTCACAAAAAGCGCAGCGCTTGTGCCAGGCTGGGTGCACCTTGAGGCCACGTGAAGTGACAGAAGAATCACTGAGAGGCCACGGGACAGACCCAGTTGTACCAACTCTCACCGTCACGCTCGCCGCTCACTTGCCCAATTACCGCACAGAATCTGAGTCCCTCACTGCCCCTCCAGACTTCATTAATCAAAATTACTGTAAATGTACATGGCCTTGTCAATCCATTACTGGATGAAGCAACCTCCACGTCACGTTAGCTTTGATGATCATTTGACCATATTTCACCACACTTGTCAGTACGGGTTCGTGAATGGACGAGAGGGAACCGATTCAGATATAAACTATTGAAACATTTTTTTTATTTTACCAGGTAAGGTCCACCGAGCTAAATATATCTTTTTCAGAAGCGACCTGGCCAAAAAGCATAGCCTATTGAAGTGGCTTATGGTGTGGAAAGAGAGAGTAGCCAAATACTCTGAATGCATGTTTCTAAAAGTGGAGGTAAAACCCGGGGATGGAGAAAAATCCACGCGGCCACGGGGAGAAAGACATCCAAGCTCCAAATATACAGCAGGCGTCAGGGTCGGAGATCGAACCCACGACCTCCTGTATACCAGGCGAGGTAGTAACATCTCGCCACCGTGACGCCCTAAATACCATTCGCCATTGATGATGGCCATGACCATAATCAATGAATTCAGCTTGGGTTCACCATTATAATGACCCTTGTCTATTTCATACAAAACACTTCTTCAGGAACCCTGTCTGGTCTCCACAAAACACTCCCTCATTCAGCGATCCTGTCTGATCATCACGAAACACTCACGCAGGAACCCTGTCTGATTCCCCATGCGTGTCAAGATTATTTTGTTTAACCAGGTGAGAGCTCAAGAGACCAGGAGAGTCTCACTTGCAAGCGTGACCTGGGTACACTGACTGTTGTCCTCCAGAAAATACTCATTCAGGGGAACCCACCTATGGAGCCCTCCGGAAAATACTCATTAAGGGGAACTCACCTTTGGAACCCTCCAGAAAATACTCATTCAGGGGAACTCACCTTTGGGTCCCCTCCTGAGGGCAATCGCCCCCCGGGTTGCCGGGGGTTGCTCCGCTCGCGGACTGAGTTGCCCCGCGCCCGGCCATGCCGACGTCCTGTGGCCTCCCGATCTCCTCCTCCTTCTCATCATCCCCATCCTCGGCTCCCATGTGCATCCCCCTCGCATCTCGCCGGCCGGACATGGTGCCAGAACGTATGCAACAGCACCGCTTCCTTGACCCGAGTTACTACAAGCCTTCCACGTGGGGCTAAAAAAAATATTTATACAAAGCAATGGTCCACGCGAGCGCACGAGCGAATGTCTCGAGGCGTGTCGCTACGCCTACTGCTGTTGTTGGCTAAGAACAGCGCACGAGTTTACATCGCCGGGCAGTGCTTGGACGTCACAGGGATTTCCTAGCAGGGAGGTACCCCAGCGGCCTACCACGTCAACACCAAAGAAAAAGATGCAGCTAACCGCTCCCCAAACCACACCCACCCACCACATCACCTGCGGAATGTGACGCGTTACGAATTCGTCATTTCACGGTAGCGTTGCGAGTGGTTTGCTTCTGAGCTACATTGGCAAGGGGTGGGATGATGGTGCTGGTAAGTTTAACAATGAATGCAAGCCAACAACGACAATAATAATGGTTATAGCAATGTTTTGTGTTTAGTTTCTTGTCCTTTCCCGCACCCCCGATTTCACGGTTGGCTCTATACGCCTCGAAAGAAGTTCAACATTCACGTACATAAAGCCCTTTGCCAATCCACTGCTGGATAAAAAAAACCTCCCCTCGCTTAGTGTCGGTCATAGGGGTTGCTTGACCATAGGGGCCGTCCATAAATGACGACATGCACCTGGGGGGGGGGGGATCAGACATTTGTGACGATGTGTGACGAGGGGGGGGGGGGTTTGAGAAATGTGACGTCACATCAAAATGCGCAACTTTAAATATAGACAACACGTTCTACTTAATAAAATAGACTTTTTAATGTTTTCTCCTCCAACATCAGTGCAGTGCCACATTAAATACGCACTACGATGACAATAGTTTTAGCGATTTGAAGCATGTTTTATTATTATTTGGGGGGGGGGCAGAGCTTTGTGACGTCATATATGAGGAGGGGGGATCTGACTTTTTGTGACGCCGTGTGACGAGGGGGGGGGGGGGTAAAAAATCGTCCAAAATCGCGTGACGTCATTTATGGACGACCCCATACTTCACCATGGGCAGGGGGGTGGACTTCAACTTAGGTGTGTGGCTCCGTTCCTCTTGAACCGTGTCTCTCGGAACCAGAGGTGTTTTGGTTGTCTGTCTCCGTATCTCTGCGTGTCTTTGATTTCTCTTCTTGTATCTGCGTCTGTCCCTCGTTGGCTGTGTCTATCACCCTTCTTTATGCCTCTGCCTGCATTGTCCAGTGATTGTTTCTGTTTATCTGTCTCCCTCTCTGTGTATGCGTCTGTGTGGGGGCTGACGCCCACCTCCCCGCTCCCCGTGAGCGGGCGGGGCGCGACGTCCACCTCCTCCACTCCCCCCTCCTCCTCGGCCGCTTCTCGCCAGGCCCCCCCGCCCCGCGCCAGTGCCCTCTCTGAGGGACATCGCTCACTGGCTGGCTCAGCACCACCCTGGGATAATGACGCGTGCGCCCCTACGAGCACTCCTCACTCCACAACACGCACGTCCGCGCACTCACGGCGTTCCAAACGCGGTACTCACCTCCAAAATGTAACGCTGTTTCTTTCCGTCCAGTTGATTGGCCAAAAACAAGATTTACAATCGGGGATGTTAACACGAATAAGTGTTTTAATATTGAATTTTTTTTGTATTTAATTACAGTTGAATAAAATAATTGATCCGCGATTCCTGTAGCGAAAATACACAGAGAGAAACCATTATCAACACTGTTTAAGACTATAGCTCTAAAGAAAGCTGTCTCTGGTGTGGACCAATCAGCTTCAAAGACAATGCAAATATTACCAGTGTCTTTGTTTGCATGTTCACCAGCAAGCCCTTGGGTGGCGCTGCCCCCCCACCCCCAATTACCCTACCCTGCTCGTGTCGCTTGACAGCAGCCCCCGCCGTTTCGAACGTCATCCCGCTGCACAATTGCAGCAGCTTTCAATCTACACGGACTTTTAAGACAGACTTAAAGTGCCAACTCTTTTTTTGAAGGCCCACCTGTTTCTTAAATACCCACCTATTTCTTAAGGGTCCAAATCTCGACTGGCTTTCGAGCGACACTGAGCTTGGCCCCACGCTTTAAAAGTCACAATCATTTGTGAAATTTTGTGCTCATTATAAAATTGCATTATTCTATCAACACACAATGCGCACACCTGATTAGTCATAAGCAGGAACATTTTCACTGTGGAAGTAAGAGAGGAATGAAATTGGGAGAACGCTGGGCTTATGAACGGTCTGGTCATGCAACCCCGAAATAGCAGAGTCGACCTGCGAAAGAGATCACGTCCATTCCACAACACTTGGGTTCACAGACAGGATTTCATCGGCAACATTCAGACAATAGTTTATTTTTCATTGTGACAGGCTTATACACAAGAGTTACTTGGAATCTCAATATGCTACACTTTTCTAAGGGTTTACAGATTATACAGTTAACATGAGCTGAGCATTACATTATAATGAATAAGTTAACTAGTAATATATGCACGTTAAGTACCTGTTCACATTTACTTTAAAAGACAAACCAACACCAAAAATGAAATATGGTCAATGTTTGGCATATTTTTGCAAACATTAACGGTCTAAATCGGCTCGAATTTAGGTTGTTGCCAATTATGTACCAATGTGACAGAGACCAAGAGACAGAGGGGAGTTATGAAAGCATATATGAACCATTATATGTCTTTGTTTATTATTACTGTTTTCACTAAGCTAGACAAGACGCTTGAATGAAGACCGACGAGATAAACAGCAACATAAATCTCAAGCCCCCTGTACCAGTGAGCCGTTCCAGTAGAATCGGCAGTGCAGTGTGCACGACACCGCACTCCTGTCCCAGGTGTTTCTGGAGCTCTAACCTCGCTCCCAATGTCACACTCCGCTAGACCAATTCAGCCGCTCCATTCTCTGCCTGAGCTCTACCTTCCTCCCAGCGCCACACAAACAGGCAAAAACGTGTAAAAAAAGACTCAGCCTTTGTGCATTATGCAAAAACCATCAACAGTTCCTGAAGAACTGCATTGTGGTTTTCTTACTCTTTGTTTTTTTTCGGTAAAGTCACGTAGAAATAATAAAAATAAAATAAAATTATATAATAGCATACGACGTTCCGATTGGTTAAAACACAATGGTGTTTTATATAGTTTCCAAATTTTGCTAAACTCTGTTTGATTTAGTGTGATGTTCCGTCTCTCTGTGTTCCCTGGTATATCTGTGTTAATTCCCCCTACTTAAGGTCTGTATATATATCTGCGGTTATGTGTTTCCTCTGCCTGATGATGATTGCTTGTGTTGCGATCGAAACGTCGTATGCTATTATATAATTTTATTTGTATTATTTCTACGTGACTTCACCGAAAAAAACAAAGAGTAATTCCTGCAGTCACGAAAGCGCCTAATCAATGTGGTTTTCTTGTTTTAGATCACAAAATTTACTTCAGCAAATTTTTCCAACAGGTGGAAGACAACTATAGACTTGTTACATCGTTATCAGAACTCATCAGTAAAGTATAGTCACCTCGTATCACACACTACTAGACCAGCCAGCATATATTTACCTATGCAGCTCAGTGTACTCCTTGCTGCTGATAAATTCTGAAATTCAGAACTGGTAATAAACGCAAAGTAGAACTCTACGGGTAAGGCCTGTGTCGTATCTTACTCTATAGAGTTCCCTTTCAATCAATTGTAAAAATATTCCATATTCCCAGGAAGGTAAAAAATGCATTTGCCAAATATAGATGTAAAAAAAACCTGATCTCAAACATGATTAATCAGTAAACAGTAATTATGCTGTACTTTTGTTTAAAGCTAAAACACTCCTAGCAAGGAATGGAATCATAAAGTGAACCTGCACACAGATGGATATGACTTGTCATTTACCAGACTAGATTACCAAGTCTTCATAGGCAACAGTACACTTTAGCATACAAACATAATGTAATATGGTCCTGTGGTCACCAATATGTGCACTTGTGAAATTCCATAACTTGTATTATTTCAAAACACAAGCTGGGGTCAAGTTAGCTTATTGAAAAAAAAACATTTCCAACATTTACAGTGTAGATAAATTAGTGCTTATGAAATAATATGAATTTCAACTTGTAACACGCCACAGTATATGCTCACTCTCAAAGAGAAGCAGAAAGACAGCCAGGCGGTGAGCTGGCGTCAACAACTGCCAAAGCTGTGTGGTTCCCTATATATTAAGACGTTTTCAGCCAATTAATGAGCGTTTACATGCGCATTCGAGGAATCATGCAGTTTTCCTCGTTATTCGCGAAGGATATGTTCCAGACATGCTTGTGAATAGCAAAATTTGCGGATAATATTGGCCTACGAAAACCTATTGTTTGAACGAATTACCTTAAATACAGAGATAATACATATCATTCCATTCTCTCTCATCACTTTATCTCATCACATTCTCTCTCTCTCGATGCAGTCGTCTAGAGTTACCCGATGCGATTCGTGGATAACCAAACTCGCGAATAGAAAGTTCGTGAAGAACGAGGGAATATTGTAAAGACAGAACACGTGGAGTCCATACTTTTGTTGTACTGCCGTCTTGTGGCAAGTGTTCATTGGTGAGGTTGTAGTAACACAACTTTAAACGTATAACTTTTGGAGAGAGTATAACAAAGTGGAGGTGTTCCATTTTTTATAATCAGCAGTGGAAATGAGCAGTTCGCCGATGCTCATTTGTGTAAAGCCACCAAATGGAGCAGCTACTCTTCAAGAGTTGAAAAAAAATAGGAAAATAAGCAATCACAACACAGTTGCCACACATCAAGGGCACTTGCATTCATCACAGCAGAAGCATTCCAATACGATTTTCTGGATCAAGATGGCACTTGTTATTTTCTTTGGATGTTGAGGCATTCATTATTTACTAAATATGTAATAATATATTTGATCAAATGTAGTTTAGAATTTATTTGTAGTGTGTGTCTGTGTGCATTTATATTTTTACACATTTAGTCCTGATTTATTCCTGAGTCAATCTAGAGTACGATCCACAACAGACAGCAGCCTTGGCCTGAAATATATCCAAGCTTCTGTGTTCGTAGCACCGCCGCTCCCTACTCTTCATGGTGAAGTGCGTCCCAGCCACTCAATAGGGACAGGAGGTGGTTGGAGTGATCACAGTGTGTGGACTGTAGGCCAGTGAGGCAGCTGCTTTGGGCAGTGCTGGGTACCTGGCTTAGAGATGTCCAGAAAACAAGTGTGTAATGATGTGGCTGAAGTCAAAGTTGCACAAAAGGAGCCTGAATCTTGAAACTAATAACAGCTGGGATTATGCAGCGAGGGTAGAGTCTCAAGCTTTGCGATGCCTTTGCTGCCCATGGATTGTAATAGATAATCGGTAAAGCTGTGAGAGGGATTTGACTTTCAAAATCTATAATAGTGATTCATCTCTATGCTATGAAGAAGAGCCATTGCTCTAAATGTCAACTATAATATGTTTTCCTTTTAGGGCAGCGTTATTGACGAATTCTTTGAATTCTTGTTATTTGTGCTTATGTACCACTGATAATGCAATACAAGAAAATAAACTGTTTAAAACTTGTGTTTAATAAATGTTCTAAAAACATGTCTAAAATATTCTTAAATGTACCGTGAGTATTAAAATAATCATACTACTGAATATTTGTATTACACATTTACCGGAAAGACAGATTTACAGAAGTATTTTTAATTTTAGTTTTTGAATCTCGACAGCTTTTCATGTGTTTGATACGGACTTAAATTGAATGCAATACTCACCAGGCAACCGTATACAACAGTGGCAATGGAGGTACTATCGACATGTGCTTCATTATAGACAGATACATACATTTTATTCAATTTCAGCAGGAAGAGCCTAATGAGCTGTTCGGCTCTATTTCATGGGCATCGCGCGACGGGGCAGATACTATACGGTACAAGTCTTAATTACAATCATGTTGACTTAGGTCGCAAAACAAACAGCGAGTATCACTACGTGCTTTACATGTTACAGGGATAGGGAACTGGTTGAAAATTAAAATACAAATATAACTACATTTTCTATGGACAAAAATAAAGGAAGCAAAAAAAGTTCATTTAGCCAAGCAAACAATCAGTAATCGAGAACTTTAAGTATGATCCATACAGATTGGTGCTCACGTTTCCCTGCCGATTATTCCATAATGAGGGAGCAGCCACTGAAAAAGCATTTTTTCCACAGCCCTAATCAAACATAGGGATATTTAAGAGGAAATAGGAGGAGCTTCTAAGGCTTCCTTTATTTTGCGGTCAACAGGTGTGGAGACAAACACAACACCTTGTCTTTCTTGCGCTTCCTTATTTTTCTTCATCGCCTCCATTTGTTCCAGTTGGAGACCATGCCAGTGATGCGTCAGTATCTGCTCAATCATCTATTGGAAAGAAAACGCAACAGCAACAACACATGTCGATGGAGAGTCCACAAAATCGAGTGAAGTGTATTTTTTTGGATGTGCATTTATTTTGAGAAGTAGAAATAACTTTAGAGTAGAGGTGCGTCGTATTGTTAAGATGGACAATAAACAGTGTAACTGTGTTTTGACATCCACAGGTTCCCATTGTGACAACTTTGCAATCTAAACGTTTTCACACATCCGAAAAATGCTCCGTGACTTTTCCCAAGCTTTATAATTACTTTTTACTCGTCACAGTCAAAGTAAATCATGCCATAATTGGGATGATACAAATATGTCAAAGACGTATTAATAGCATCTATTTTTCAATAAAAGCCTCACTGAGTTTTGTCATTCTTTTGCAATGGAATGTTTGGCTTCATGTTGGAGGAAACGTATCCAGAGAAAACTCACATATACAACGAAATAACACGCAAAGTTCCACACAGATAACATCACCATCCATATGTTACAATGCCGCCTCCTGGCCACAATTAAATATTATGGTCAGGAAGTGGCAATAAACTTGGGCAACCAGTGGGAAAGGTCAAGCTCCCAGTAAATATGGATGGCTGCAGCATAAATGGTCGTCGTTAACCCAAGGGAACTCCTCTTGTCGGTGATCCTGTCACCCAAATTCCCCGATGCTAGATGAGTTCTCAATGAGCTGTGCAGACATAACTGGGCAATGAATGCTCTGCAATCTACGTATACACTCACAACATGGGAAGAAATACGCTGATGTCTGCACAAGTTACACACAAATAATTAATAACTAATGTCGGTTTTGGGGGTAGATTGTTTATGCGTGTTGGTTCACATGTTTGCTCATGCACGCTGTGCAGGCCTGCTCTTGCATGCCATGCTTATCTGTCCTTCCCTGTGGTGCAAATGCGCTTACCTCTGCTTGTACTGCAGGATCTTGTGTCTACCAAAAAGAGACAAGTAACAATGTCGTAACTTAGTCACACTGATGAACACAATGTAGCGAGTGTCACAGTTAAACCACGAAATATTTAACAACATAAATAAGCAGACATGTCTGCTTCACATATCCATCACTCCACGTAAAAAATAAAAAAAAAATTCTTACACAACTCATCACGCCAAAGGCCTTCTGGGAATGTGTAATTTCAGCAGCATAGCTTCAAGAAAAGCAAACTCTGGTCCGGTTTCAACAACAAAATGTCTAATCAGCATAGTCAGGCTTGCTTGAATCAATTCTGATGAACTGCCGATCTTACAGGCAAGGGCCTTCTCTTTACGGTAAGGGTCTTAGTTTGATGCGAAATTATATCATATATAACGACGCAAATTCTGAATCACAAAACATTTGGATCATTTTACACCCTCAATTCACAATATTATCAACACTACTCTAAGTGATAAGTTTAGCGCATATAACAATAAAAGTAATACCTCAGCTTCTTTGAAAGTTGTAATGTTGTGACTCGAATAGTAAAATGTAGCGTGGGTAATCCCTGTCCCAACCAACAGGACCCAATTGAGGTTGTGTCCACGCCTCTTGTCGCTGGCTGCTCCACCACTACCATGTGCACTGTCTAACTGGGGCTGACAACGTGAATGCCTGAGAGGTGCAAGTTGCTGTACGAGTAACCAGGGCTCAGGAAACACTCACCGGACGGGGAGGCTCCTGCAGGGTTTCACAAAGAGCGGCCGTCTGAAGGGAAACAACAACAACATTCGCCACTAAGTGGTGGTGATGTCACCATGGCGCATGTACACTCTGGCCATGAAGGAAAACATCGCAAGCATTTACCCTCATCTGTTTTCCTTACAGTCACAACCGCATCTGCATTGACCATGGTAGCTGATGCGAATACTTGATGCACGAAGGGTAAATTAAAGCATCTCCGATGTTTTAGTGTTGTCACCCAAACAGCCCATGGAACGTATCACGACTCAGTCCCCAATTCACAAACACGAAGGAGGCATCAACACAGCAATAAACTAATCCGCTACTCTGACGCAATGATCCGGCTCAACCGCCTCAATGGTAAATTATAGTTGTTGTTCTACAACAACATCAGCCAAAAGAAGAAAAATAAGATTCTGTTTTGATTTAAAGCTTTCGTGACTGCAGTAATTCATATTCTTAGCTCTTTCGGTATATATATATTGTTATTTTATTGTTTCCCTTCAACGTGACTTTACCGAAAGAGCTAATAATATAATAAGATTCTGGTTTAAAGCTAGCATGTGGCTCAGATAAAGGGTGAAATTGTCATTGTAACAATGGTATTTTCCTCATTATGCACTGCTAGGTGGAGGCCACCCCAAACCACCACCATCTCTCATGATTTTGCAATGCAGAAATCAATCAAGCTTCTTCACACGAATTCCTCCATCTCGACAATGGACGTCCTCCTCTTGGCCGTGTTCCATCCTCTGGCTGCCACTTTGTTGTTTGTCTCAACCACGACCATCAACCATTCCAATGGTGCTTCCTGCCAAAGTCCACTTGCTTTTTTTATTATTTAAACAGTCGGTATGACATCTCTAACTTGCATACATTATCTAATCAATGTCTGATTGTTAAGTGAACTTGTCCATTAACTCTGTTTTGCTCATATCTATCTCATACGCAACGTTTCAGTCTTCTTGATTAAGTTCTTATAACGTGTCCCGTAATTCATTTCCACTGGCTGTTGTAATGACGATGAAGTCGAAAAATCTGAGATGGCTAATATTTGCTCCTTTAATATGTATGAATTTGTTTCTTAAATCTAATGACAGTTGTCACCGAATTCCAGCGTCATCCTTAACACTCACTTGTCTTTGTGCATGAATAGATTGAACAATTAATGCGAACTCATAGCTTTTCAAGCAATGTGCAGTTGTGAAAAAAAAAACATACAAACTTGAGTAGTGATGTCATGCCAGTTCAAGGTACAATTTTAATGAAAATGCACAGACAGATTTGAAAACTATTAAATAAAACTATAAACTAACCTATTTTGTATTTTACCATGTTTTGTTCAGACGCAGCCTGGTCGCAAATGATCGCTCAACGAAGTGGCTTACCACGTGGAACGGTATCGCAGCCAGATACTCTAAACGCATGCTTCTAAATATGAAGGGAAAAACCGGAGGACCTGGAGAAAAATCCACGTAACCACGGGGAGAACATGCATACTCCAAATATACAGGTGTCAGAGTCGGTATCAAACCCACAACCTCCGGTGTACTAGGCGAGGTAGTTGACATCTCACCACTGCAGCGCCCATTACCTTTACATACAAATGATATTTAAATACTGAAACAGCTCTGGACTGTATGTTTATGATTATCTATTGAAAACACAAGTATGACGTTTATGGAGGAACCAATGAGTCGCATGTATGGTTTCTACTTCTGTAGGGCTGAGGCCGCTCCTCTGGCCAATGGGAGCTTCAGCTGCTGTCGTGGGGGTGATTGTCTCACTCATGTAGTCCGAGGAGGAGGCGTACCTGGAGAGGAGATCAGCGCATTACACACTGGACTTGAGTGACTGGTTACCACTCTAAACCATTTACCGGTTACTTAACACATCTGTAATCAATTCCTTCCTTAGCACAGATGACGACCAATTGAGGTGAAGTTTACAGGTTGTAAGCCAAGCGTACATCAGTGCCAAACACGAGCCTGCTGAGTTTGCATTTGCAACTCATTAATTCCCATGTAGCCAGGGACACCGATGTATTATTCATCTCAACCACCAAACAGACCCTGCATTGCTCCCTCCACGAGAGAGTTTCACGTCTACAGTGTTGTTCATAGGAGCTGCACTGAGTCTTAACTATGCACATTAAGCTTCACAGGTGATGGTAACCCGGAATAAACTGTACAGTTTCGTACAGGCATACTCCCGATTTACACCCAGGATGCGTTCCTGAAAACCAAAATTTGAATTGAAATTACTTAATTAGAAGATAGCGAAAGTTTCGGCAAACGGGAGGGTGTAAGTGGGTTATTACTGTATCTTTTTGCTATTAAATGATAAATATCAAATATTTTAAATAATTAGTTACTTGTTATTAAGTATAAATTAATTTCCGAAGAATGTACTAAAAAATAGTATTTTCTCAATTATGCAATTACAGTAAAATCTCTCGGTGAGCCGCACTATGAAGAGTGAGCCCTGGTACGGGTAGCCAAACACTGGCCAGCTGTGAATACAACATAAATCATTGCTAATGACCCCCCCTAATACATACCTAGCATGGACAACACTCAAAAATAATTAAAATACATTTCTTCATACATTTAGTCTAATTTACAACACTATGGAAAAACATAAATTAAAAAAAACTACTGTTTTGCGTTTACAGAATTACGTGTTGCGATGACTCTATTGTGTGGTGTTGTTATGTACCCATCCTTGACGTTTGTTGATGCTGCACCAAAGAGACGCAAACAGTAATAAGCACAAATGTGGAACAATACAAATCAAGAACGTTGGTCCAGCTAAATGTAAATCCAGATAGCCAGGCCAAGGACAGGCTAAAAAAGATTTGGATGAGGTGGTGACTATTGAGAGCATCATAGGGGGTCATCAGGCCGTGTTGGATGATTTCAAGATTGCTTCCCCTATTCACAGGGGAGAACGCCATCAGACTTCCTGGTAAACTTCTGGACGCCCAAAGAATTGCAATTCCAATGAAGTCGTGTTACTGCCCTTCTGTGTGGGTCTCGCAGCACAGCAAGTGGGAGTGTTCATGTGCCATCTAGAAGAAATAGGCTTTACGTAAAATTGTTATCTCATGGTGTTCTTGATTCCTGTTTTCATGCTTCTTTTTTTTTGTTGTTGAAGTATATGAGATGAAAGTTTATTGGTGTTGTGTCCACCCTCCTCGCCCATCAGACCCTCACACACCCTGAACTACTAGCCTGGGTTCATCGAGCTGGGGTTCAGTTAGTCTGAATTTTACTGTATTTGCAGTATTCCAGACATCCCTCTATAACCAGAAAGGCTCGCCCCCAAATTAATCCGGTTTTGAGCAGTTTTACTGCATCCATGCTAGTGAAGGCCACAGCCTGTGTGAGATCCACCTGCCGTAGTGCATGATAGAGAGGTAGTCGTAGGGCAGATCTTCTCCACATCCACTGCATTCCAGCCGTTTGAACTGCCCAAGCTCATCTGCAGGTAGCAGGCACACGTGGCTCTTATTAACGACAACATTGGTTTTATGCTTGCATTTACAAAACACACCTTTCATCATGTTGTAGGTTGAACTTCTTTCGCACCGTACATAGCCAACCGTCCGAAACGGAGGTGCGGAAATTGTTACCGGTTCTACCAAGAGCGCACACAGTTAGATTGTTGGGGTAGCGTTTGGGTAAGTGGAACGTGTGCAACAAGTGGCTTGACTTCTTTCGAGTGAATTTTGATTTAAAGCTTTCGTGACTGCAGTAATTCATATTCTTAGTTTTTTCGGTAAAGTCACGTTGAAGAGAAACAACAAAATAACAAAATATATATAAAACAATAAAAAAATTCTCACGACGTTTCGACCATAACTCAAACGGTCATCATCAGGTGTGTCGGTTTGCATAAATTTATTTTTAAAACGGCACATTTATTTATTTATAAAAAACGTTGGCGTCACGCGCAGCGATTGGCAGTTTGCCCAGGACTAGTCCATCTATTTTTTTGAAAAGAGGAGGGGGGAGACGAAATTTTTTATAATGTATGCTGTCTGAAAGCCACTGTAAGCGTGAACAATCAATCAAGAACTGAAATGATTGATCAAATCTTTCCAATGATTGCTAAGATAGAATCCATCTTCTCGGTTGAAATTGTCTCTGTGCTTGTATATGTGGATAGCCTCATGAACGAATCTCTCATGGAAGCCAGATGGCTTACAAAGAACCTCCGTCTTGGAAAAGTCAATGGCATGTGAGCCTACTGAATTAGAACAATGATCTGCTACGGCCGAGGTGTTGGTCCTACCGTGTTTAAGGTCTGCTTTATGTTCACGAATGCGGTCCGAGACATGGCGTTTGGTTTCTCCAATGTAACTACTACCACAGAGGCAACTTAGTTTGTAGACACCAGGGTATTGTATGTCCGGAATCACATCTTTTACAGACGGAACCAGATCACGGATTTTATGTAATGTGTTGAAACGGACCTGGATCTTGTGTTTATTCAAGATTTTGGTTCTTTGTAAGCCATCTGGCTTCCATGAGAGATTCGTTCATGAGGCTATCCACATATCCAAGCACAGAGACAATTTCAACCGAGAAGATGGATTCTATCTTAGCAATCATTGGAAAGATTTGATAAATCATTTCAGTTCTTGATTGATTGTTCACGCTTACAGTGGCTTTCAGACAGCATACATTATAAAAAATTTCGTCTCCCCCCTCCTCTTTTCAAAAAAAAAATAGATGGACTAGTCCTGGGCAAACTGCCAATCGCTGCGCGTGACGCCAACGTTTTTTATAAATAAATAAATGTGCCGTTTTTAAAATAAAATTATGCAAACCGACACACCTGATGATGACCGTTTGAGTTATGGTCGAAACGTCGTGAGAATTTTTTATTGTTTTATATATATTTTGTTATTTTGTTGTTTCTCTTCAACGTGACTTTACCGAAAAAACTAAGAATATGAATTACTGCAGTCACGAAAGCTTTAAATCAAAATTTAATCGCCTCTACGGGGAGGGTTTTCACATAACTTTAAGATCCTTCAACAAACTCCGGGATAAGAAAGCTCAGCTGATCGAGTCTCTCACCTTCCTGAAGAGATGCCACGACTCTGGGGTAATACCAATCGCATTTACACTGACCTCTGCTGCTGTAACTTCTTCTAATGCGAAACGAATTCTTTTCAAAACTAGCTTAGCTCTTATCTCAGAAAAAATCAGACTTATACGCACAGAACTAGATCAGTTAGACAAGACACTCTACAAATCACACTTATCATTGACGGCAATAATGTCCACATCGGATTGGGAACATGTAGACAATATGACTGCCTCTTCAGCTGCTACTATGTCGACCAAATGTAAGGAAAACCTGATTTCCAAATTTAACCTCCTCTTCAACAAAAGACCGGACCCACACACCAAAAAGTTAGACGTTAATAAAGTCGTAATTAATCGCAGTAACAGTTCTATTTCCGATGGTATGAAATCCGTTTTAGCTAAAGGTCTAAACTTTGCAGTCACACCTAAACACATACCAGTTAATGATATAATTGCCCAAGTAGACGTTGCTCTCAGGGGCCTGGGTCACATCGCTGCAGACGTAGCAAGATCTGAAATCGCTGCAACCCTCAAAAACGCTAAGATGCCAGCTAGCAACCTCAGCAAAGATGAGCGTTTTGAATTATATAAATTAAAAAAGAGGAATGATATTGTAGTTCTCTCAGCTGACAAAGGCAATGCTACTGTCATCATGGATAAAATAGAATACAACAACAAAATTAAAGAATTACTCGACGATGGTAGTTACACAAAAATAAAAAGAGATCCCACCAACAGCCTCGTCACACAAACCAACAAAATAATTTCTGATTCAACCGCATTAATTGATCAATCTAAACAGTTTTCGTTGAAACCTTCTGCTGCCAGGCCACCAAGATTATACGGCTTACCAAAAATACATAAAGTTGATACACCTCTTCGTCCCATAGTCTCTACTATCAGCTCCCCCACCTACAAACTAGCTCGTTTTTTGTCTGAAATCCTGCGTCCTTTCACTGGAAAGACCACCTCTGCGGTACAAAATTCTACTCACCTGGTATCAACAATCAAGGGTATTTCCCTGTCCCCAGACGACCTGCTTGTCAGTTTTGATGTAGTTTCCTTATTCACCAAGGTTCCTGTACCTGACACCATTGCAATCATTGAAGACTTGGTTCATCAAGGACTAAACACTGAGGTACCCCCCCTGGTGAGACACTGTTTAACCAATACATACTTCACTTGGAATGGAACTTTCTACAAACAAACTGAGGGCACCCCAATGGGCTCCCCCCTTTCTCCAGTTATAGCTAACATTTTCATGGAGAAATTTGAGACTGACGCCATCCAGACTGCCACTCTGCGCCCAACCTTATGGAAGAGGTACGTGGATGACACTTTTGTCATCTGGCCACATGGCCGGCCTGCTCTAGACCAATTCTTCGACCACATCAATTCCATACACCCAGCCATCAGATTTACCATGGAAGTCGAAATAGATGGCAAGATACCTTTTTTGGATGTCCTAATTAAAAAGAGACCTGATGGTTCAATGAGCCACTCTGTTCTACAGGAAAGCTACCCATACGGATGCTTATCTGAAACCGGATTCCCACCACCATCCATCACAGAAGAATTCTCTCATCAAGACTCTGTATCATAGAGCCCAATGCATATCCGACCAGGAACACATAAGCAGTGAACTCAAGCATGTACACCAAGCTCTTAGGGCTAATGGTTACTCCGACTATACAATCCGCAAAGCTATCACTCAAACCATGAAGAAGAACCCTCTTGAGGAGCCTTTCAAAACCATCACTTTACCCTACATTGCTGGGATCACAAAAAAGATCTCCAAAATCTTGAATAAACACAAGATCCAGGTCCGTTTCAACACATTACATAAAATCCGTGATCTGGTTCCGTCTGTAAAAGATGTGATTCCGGACATACAATACCCTGGTGTCTACAAACTAAGTTGCCTCTGTGGTAGTAGTTACATTGGAGAAACCAAACGCCATGTCTCGGACCGCATTCGTGAACATAAAGCAGACCTTAAACACGGTAGGACCAACACCTCGGCCGTAGCAGATCATTGTTCTAATTCAGTAGGCTCACATGCCATTGACTTTTCCAAGACGGAGGTTCTTTGTAAGCCATCTGGCTTCCATGAGAGATTCGTTCATGAGGCTATCCACATATACAAGCACAGAGACAATTTCAACCGAGAAGATGGATTCTATCTTAGCAATCATTGGAAAGATTTGATAAATCATTTCAGTTCTTGATTGATTGTTCACGCTTACAGTGGCTTTCAGACAGCATACATTATAAAAAATTTCGTCTCCCCCCTCCTCTTTTCAAAAAAAAAATAGATGGACTAGTCCTGGGCAAACTGCCAATCGCTGCGCGTGACGCCAACGTTTTTTATAAATAAATAAATGTGCCGTTTTAAAAATAAATTTATGCAAACCGACACACCTGATGATGACCGTTTGAGTTATGGTCGAAACGTCGTGAGAATTTTTTGTTTTATATATATTTTGTTATTTTGTTGTTTCTCTTCAACTTGACTTTACCGAAAAAAACTAAGAATATTCTTTCGAGTGCTCTGAGCTGTTGGAGTAAATGGAGGGTAGTCTTGCTCAGTGCTTAAATAAAATAATAAAATGACCTAAGTCAATCCACGGCAGGATAAAGGCTTCCCCACGACGTCATGTCAGTCGTGGAGGTTGTTTGACCGTACTTCACGCTGGAGGATTGCAGTATAGAGAAAGAGGGTGCCCCCCAAAAAAACCCAATACGTTCGTCATTAACGTAGTGTACTGGTGTTAACTATGGCCGGGAATACTAACTTGGGTAACCTACACCATTGCTCTTCCCGACTCAATGTGTATTTGTTTATGATGTTAAATTAAACGTAATATTTTGCACAATTATTTGTGAGAAGGCATGGCGTTAACATATCCCTTATTTATCTTGAAAAGGGATCGTTATAAAGAGTAACGGTGATGTTATTTTTATTCAAGTAACTTCAATGCACAAACATCACCAGTTGCATGGAAGATGTGGTTCCAATATTAGCCCTCCAGTGCGATGTTTTACCCAGCGGTACGTACTGAGGGTTAGCATCAGTGCTATATTGTGTGATGTGACATTCTAAACTCTAGCAAGAGCTGTATATTGGATTAATAGTGATAATGCCAGTATTTATACGAGGCTGTTGCTGTGACTGTTTTACCCCAGCACTGTTTGTTTATATGGGAGCAAGGATGAGAAACTCAAAGTAATTTCCTGCTCAAATGAGCATGAAGGCAGTACTCATCTTCCATGTAGAGCCTCGAGACAGTGTTGGAAATTCCACATTGCTATGGTGGGGGCAGGTCCATTTATAAGACGACCACTGTTGACTTCTCCACAAGGTGGTACTCATTGCATTTACCTGAGATAAATAATGGGCTGAATCAACCCCATCACCGGCATTTTAACTCATAACCTTCTGAGTGGAGTACACTCACTCTACAGGTAGACCACCTTTCCGGTGAATAACATAATTGGATTAAAACAAACTCCAGCTGAAGTTTCTCCAGCTCAAATGCGTGTAGAGTGGAACTTATCTCCACTGGTGGCTCTGGGAGTGTGGTGGATATTCCACAAACCTATGGTGGAGACCAGTGATTCTATAGGATGACCACTGTGGACATCCCATAAAGTGGTACTTGTTTTAAGGAGCCAACCCGTGAGCAGCACGTGAGTCCTTGCATCAGCGTGTGGAGTGAGCACCGTGAGTGCGGTGCTGCCCAACCGCATATGACAAAAGACAAAGATCTCCCGTATAGCCTTGACGGAATGTTGGGGCAAGTGCTGTTAGTGAGCACCTATGGAGGCTGGCACAGCACACGAGGGGGATGGGTGGCCAGCACCACGCTCGGCTGCCTTTATCTCCCTAGTGGCGATGTTTAAACACCACACCAGGTACTCATTTGAGGCTGAGTCAACCTAGGGGAGGCCCAGGACCGGTTCAGATAATCGTCACTGGTGTTGGCCGTGAGCGAGAATTCAATTCGGGTCGCCGGATTCATAGCGCAACGCGCTAACCGTTACACCACTGCTCCCCATGCGTGGCAGCACACGCACCACCAGGGGTCGCGACACAGCCATTGCTGACCGTCGTAGATGCAAAAATGATCGTTCGCGTGCCCATCTGTACGCTCGTTACTAAAACTGCACTGGAGGAAGCAGCACGAGCAATGGGAAGATTGCGTGGCAGTTTCTTGCACCTGCTGTGTTGACACGTCCTCGTTAAAGTAAACTATACACTGTACATCGAATTAATGTGCTCTTTGTGCAATACAAGCCGTTTCTAGTAATGAATAGCACGCCTGCCCTGGATGCTTTACTCACTCTAGTGGCACCACTCACCTTCCTCGACGTTGTCCTCATGGACCTTCATGTGCTGGTCACGGTCACTGCGGCAGTGCTCGTGGTGGAAGCCGAGCGCGTGCATGAGCTCGTGCAGAATGACGCCCTTGGTTACCTTCCTGGGCTCCAGGGACAAAGACTGGGCCCCTCCTTTCTTGCCCAGGAACGACCAGCTCCTGGTGGCGAAAATTCCCATGGAATTTCACGATCACCCCCATGACCTTCACCTCATGATTACCGTACGTTATGCGGAGACACTGCTGATCGCCAAAAAGAATGTTAGCTATTGGTGGCGTGAAAGCTGAATGGCTTGCAATGTCCCGAACAAGTCACTACCTGAACACCCCACGCAGGAAGTACTTGGCGTCAGCCTACGTAGAAGGCAATTGACTGTGTTTGAAAAAAACGCACACTAATGCAGCTATTTTGTTCATAAATCGAACATGAGTAGCCAAATTGTCAATGTGCATTCTGTTCATCACATAACCGAGCACTGCCCATTAGACAATTACACAGGATGCGCACACGCTATATGTTAAGCAACTATTGATGCCATCAAATGGAATACCAAACTGAACATGCAGTTAAAATGATATCTCAGTTGCTTTTAAATGCCTTACGAAAGATGACCTTCAAAGTAAAAAAAATACACTGTATTGTGTGATAATATTGGTTCAGAGAAGGGGTTAAATTTCTACGTCTGCACTCTGTAAGGGTCTCAGTAAGATCCACTCCACAAGAAATACTATTACTTGGCTTTCTAAGCTTCAATTAGCCGTTACCGATGTGTGTTCCTCTCAACAGAAGACAAAAAATGCCACGAACAAATAATACATTCAAATGCAGTAAATCAGCCCTTTAAGAGCCAGGCAAGAGTTCATTTTGCTTGCAAGTGAAGCCTCAAAAGCTGAGGGGCACTGCTTAGATCCTGGGTTTGATTCTAGGCAGCTGCCTGTGATTAAACTACATTCTCAAGTGTAGTGAATTGATGGTCTCAGTTTGGTGAACAATGAATGCACACAAAACCATCTCACTACATTAAATGCAATTTTGTACTTAATTTGGCAAATTTCTAGCTCTGAGATTTAAAACATGTGCTTCACTGTCATAGAGCAAACATAAGCCTCCTATGCAAAGCAGGTGAAAAAGTGCTGCCTTCCACTCTGGATCAGAGGTCACTTTAGGGGATCTCAGAGGTAGTTATGTGATATCCCCTTCAGTGGGTTTTCTAACACGAAGGGTTGCCCTGCCCTGCAGATATCTGAATCGATAAATCTCTCTTCTCTATGTCTACGCCACACTCACTCTACACCTCACTTTCTATCTACGCCCCACGCACCTTTTACGGCCCACTCTCTCTCTATACCCCACTCTCTATCGGCTCTATGTACCCTCGACGCACCGCTCACCATCTATGCTCCACTCATTTTCTACACTCTGCTCTCTCTACACCCCATTCTCTCTCTCCACGCCGCTCACTGCTGCTCACCCGTCCAGGGCCTAGAAGTTGATGTAGTCCTCCTGGTTGTCTTTCCGAATGAGCCGAACACAGGTTTTCTCTGCAAACTCATTGACTGCTTGCTGGATGTTCTCCTTGTCATTGGTGTCTAAAAAGCATGTCCTCATATTAGAATCACACTGTGCTTATATTATAATATTTTCCTCTCATTCGAAAATGATCCTCATGAGAATCCAATTATACTCATATGATCTAAATATACGTATTCATAATATAATTAACTACAATCATATGATTATAGTATCCCCAAGTTAGAATGACACTAATCCTTGTAATCCTTGTGGTACAAAGCATATCCCGGGCATTTGATTCGGGGAACTAGGGGACAACATTTCCTTCCCTTCTGGTGGCGATTTGGAGCGGGGGACGAGGTGCGGGCTCGATTGAGATGACGAGATGTTGGTGAGGATGGAGATGGATAAGTTGGATGATATGTATGTAAGTAAGTACATGTATACACACGCAACTCTTAGAACCTATGTTATCACGAGTGTGGATGATGAATGATGATGAAAGATGACGGATGATGGCGATAAGTTTGATGATGAGGACAATGGTGATTTTGTCACAGAGGTCACGGTGGTCATGGAAATCATGAATTTCAATTAAGACCATGAAATCTAAGAAATGGCTGAAGAACACATTCAATTGGGTGCTTCATCTATTTCCTTTAAAAAAAAGTGGCATTATTTGTGTGCTAAAAATAGAAATCTGACCGAGAGAGCTCCATGTGGCAAACCATGAGTGAGTGATGTGCGGAGGGCCTGTGTAGAGTCAGCAGTCCCAGCTGAAGTAGCTCCAGATTGGGGCTCTCGCTGAAGCAATAATAATAATCTCTATTTTATAAAGAGCCCATAAAGCGTCAATCTGAAGCTACAGCTGCCGGCTGTGTGCGATGCACTCACCAAAACCAGAGCAGACATCATAGAGAACGTAGACTTTGCCATCTCAGTGCTTGATCCAGTCATGGCTTCCATGTAGACAATCAAAAAGCATGCTCAGTATCACATAAAGTGGAGCCTAAACAATTGGGTATCATGCACGATGATGCTGCTTCTGTGTATGTATGCATGTTGAAATTATTTCACACCATACATAGCAAACCATGCTAATCGGATGTGTGAGGGAATGACAACATTATCGTTGATGAGTGTGTTCCTTTTTAAAAATGTAATTCCAAGAATCCCATGGTAATTCTGGGCTCGGGATCATGAGAATCTCCTGCCACTGAGATACAATGGTTTGCTCGTCCTCTCCAATAGCAACACAGACCCCCCCAAGAGCCTTCGGAGGAAGTGACCCGTTTGCCACAGTTACGTTCCCATGCATATTTGGTCGCTATAAATTTACATGTGATAAGCCACTTCGTTGACGTCACTGGTATTGGCCGTGAGCAGAAATAAAACTCAGGTCATTGAGTTCATCGTGCAGCGGGTGCAAACAGCTATACTACCGCTCCCCACTGATGGCAATGCCTGACATGACACACAGGCCATGTTCCATCCATCAGTGTCAGCTCTGGGTTCAGAAGCAACGATCATTGTTTGCCAGAACTTCCTCTTGGAACCGTGGACCTGAACGCTGTTCACATTATCAATAGTGATCCAACATGAAGAATACCGTTTCAAGTTTTCATTGATTGTTTGCACTCACTTTTTGAAACATACTATGAAATAAAATATATATAAAATATGTAAAACATTTTCAATTTGAGTTACACCGTAGTGTAAGGGTATTGAGTTAAACCACTGTTAATTCACTCCTGTCACCCTGCACTACAGCTCACGGTAGAACTCTCCGCAGCACGACTCACAACCTCCTCTCTACAAAACACCATCACTGCCGGTCATTGTTTCTCCATGGCAGCCCCCGCCGTCTGGAAAGCCATTCCGCTGCACCATCGCAGCGTTCAATCCACACCGACTTTTAAGGGACACTTGAAGGCCCAGCCTCTTTCGCCTTGGCTTTTGAGCGACACTGATCTTGAATCCGCGCATCAGTCGCGGTCTTTCATGTCCGTAAAATATTGTGCACATTATAAATTGCATCATTATTATCATCAATTTTAAGTACGTCGTCATCATAAGGGCATGTGTCCCGCTTGTAAAGTGACTCACTCTGCTGGTCGCGATGGAACCCGAACACGCTCATGAGCTCATAAAGCACCGCGCCCTTCTCAACCTCGCTGAGCTCCAGGGTGATGGACCGAGCTGCCCTGGCACCCAGGAGTGAGGAGGAGTCCCTGATGGGAAACCACGTGTTTCACAGTGACATCCCAAGTTTGTTTATGTTCTTATACTACTGGGAATGCTGTTATAATGTTAGAATGGCCGTTATAATGCTGTTAAATTGTTATGATAAATATGAGGTCTAGTTAACAACGAAGCCTGCCACTTGCATTATTGGGAATGTTACTTGTAATTGGATTAGTCGAGTCAGACTTGTACCCATGTAACTTTAATGCGATCTTGACAGCAAGGATGAAGAAGTATCTCATCCACAGTTCAGTGTTATGTGCAGCGCTGTACATTTAGGCTGCAGTATGGTGATTACACGAAGTGACTACTTGAAAAAATATTGTAGTGGTATCCCAAATTTTCGCAGCTGCTTAAATTCCCTTTTCACACCATCAATATGTAAACTCCCCCTCCCCCCCTCACCGGTCTGCACATGTTCACCCCCTCTACACCGTTCACCATGCTAAGTCCGCCAATTAAATGCTAATTTTTATGCTAATTCCTTTGTCAAGGCGCCTTGTTTCCTCTCACACAGCTTAAAGGTCGCGGTTTGAGCTTGGCTGTGTTCACTCCAGCGCTGTCCTCGAGACAGTCTGGTCCCTTCACCTGATGAAGGCCACTTGTGTTGTGGCCAAAACGTCGTGAATTTTTATTTTTATTTTTGTTGTTTTATACTTTTACGTGACTTTACCGAATAGAACCAAAGAGTATGAATCCTTGCAGTCACGAAAGCTTCAAATCTAGAATTTGATTGGGTCCTCAGATGGTTCTCTCCCAACGGTTGGGGTGATAGCTTTACGGATTGTGTAGTCTGAATATCCATTCTTCTTGAGGGCTTGGTGTACGTGCTCCAATTCACTGGCTAGGTGATGGTCGGAAATACAACGAGCTCTGAGGTATAGAGTTTGATGAGGGAATTATTCTGGGATGGATGGTGGTGGGAGTCAGGTTTTAGGTAGGCATCCGTGTGGGTGGCTTTCCTACAGACAGTGTCCCATTGAGCCATCAGGTCTCTTTTCGATTAAAATATCCAAGAATGGTAACTTGCCATCCTTTTACACCTCCATGGTAAATTTGATGGCTGAGTGTATGGAATTAATGTGGTTGAAAAATTGGTCCAGAGCTGGTAGGCCATGTCTCAAATTTCTCCGTGAAAACATTGGCTAAAACTGGAGATAAGGGACAGCCCATTGGGGTACCTTCAACTTATTTGTAGAATGTTCCATTCCAGGTAAAGTAAGCGTTGGTATGGCAGTGTCTAACCAGGGCCGGTACATCAGCATTCAATCCTTGTTGGACCACATCTTCAATGATTGTAATAGTGTCAGGCACAGGAACTTTGGGAAACAAAGATACCACATCGAAACTGACAAGGAAATCACCTGGTGATAGTGAGATGTCCTTAGTTAAAGATATCAAGTGAGCTGAGTTAAGCACAGCTGAGGTGGTTGTACCAGTGAATGGTTGCAAGGTCTCAGACAGAAATCGTGCCAGTTTTTAGGTGGGTGAGCCAATGGTGGAGACGGTAGGACGGAGTGATGTACCTTCTTTATGGATTTTTGGTAATCCATAAAATCTGGGTGGTCTAGCAGCAGAGGGTTTTAAGGAAAGCCGCTTGGTTGATTCAATTAAAGATATAGAATCAGTGATGATGTTGTTGGTTTTCGTTACCAGACGGTTGGTAGGATCTCTACTAATTTTCGTATAGCTACCATCATTAAGTAGGACCTGAATTTTGTTATTGAATGTGATTTTGTCCACGATGGCAGTGGCATTGCCCTTGTCGGCTGAGAGGATGACTATATCATCTCTCTTTTTTAGTTGAGGGAGTTCAAGGCGCTCATCCTTGCTGATGTTGCTAATAGGTGCCTCAGCGTTTTTGAAGATTGCAGCGATTTACGATCTTGCTGCACAAAAACCTGCGGCCATGGCTTTCTGCGTGCTCAGCTCGCGTTGTTGGGGGTGGGGATTCGGTCCTTCCTCCACAGAGCTGTGGGAACAGACAGAACTCAGTGAGGGAGACAGAACTCCAGCGACGCAGGGGGCGGCCCAGTTGTGGGAGAGCATAAGGCGCAGCCATATTTGCAATGTTAATAGTGTCAATGTAACTTGTTCCTATTTCAACGACATACTCACGTGACTTGTCATCGAGATTTGTCATCGAGAATAACATGAGCTTAAACTCTGACAAATGGTGAACTGTGGCTTTTACCTGCACTGTGACAAGAGGCTGTGTCTATTGAATACGGAATGGCCCAACAGTACTGTCAGACAAACAGCAGGTCCCCCCCCCCCCCTAAAAGCACACAGCTCACAACCGTGTCACCGGGTTTAACGATTCGGTCAACACCGACCTGGAACCACTCAGGAGCTCTCTCTCACCGCTCTCAGCAGCAGCAGCAGCGGCTCCTGCTGCTCCTGTCCCTGCCTCTGCAGGCGACGCAGCGATGAGCTCAGTGCGGGCGACTCTCTCCTGAGCTCTGGCTCGCTCTCCGCTTCTACCCTCGCCTCGTCGTCCTCCTCCTCCTCACCAGCTCCTCACCGCTGAGTGAGCGTCTCTCGCCCAGTGATGCGGGGAGGTGCGAGTGGGGCAGGGGAGTTTCACTTCACTTGGCTCGCTGCCCCAGGGGCTTTCCAGGCTGGGACGCGGGGGGAGGGGGGTGTATACATTTTTAGAGACTTGCATATCCCATTAGATGATGCTAGTTGTAATTACTGGCGACAACGTCGTACTTATGTCGTAAACGTTGTGGCATTGCGCTCCAACACACCGCACACCGGTGTAGCTGTACTAGTAACGAATTGACACGTTCTGTTGACGTGATAAACCTTACGGGCCGTCCATAAATGACGTCACGCAACTCGACCATAACACAAACGACCGTTTGTGTTATGGTCGAAACGTGAGAATTTATATTGTTTTATATATTTTTTTATAATTTTATTGTTTCCCTTCAACGTGACTTTACCGAAAGAGCTAAGAATATGAATTACTGCAGTCACGAAAGCTTTAAATCAAAACGTTCTACTTAATTAAGTAGACTTTTAATGTTTTCTCCTACAACATCAGAGTGCAGCGGCACATTAAATACGCACTCCAATGATAATAGTTAAGCGATTTGAAGTATATTTTTTTTTGGGGGGGGGGCAGAGCTTTGTGACGTCATATTTGAGGGGGGGTCTGACTCCTTGTGACGCCGTTTGACGATGGGGGGGGGGCAAAAATCGTCCAAAATCGCGTGACGTCATATATGGACGCCCCCTTACTCATTGGCTGTCAGGTGGTGGCGGGTTTAACGACACATTTATAATAAAAAAAAACCTGCATTATGGATGATGATTGATATTGGCTTTTATTTTGGTGATTTCAAAAACGTTTTTTTGGTTTGGCCATGTTTTTGTTTATTGTAGTACGGAATTAGACTGATGGCCTTAATCTTAGTTGTCTTGTGGTTGTTGTTGTTGTAATAGGTTTTTACCCTTTTATCTGGCACCAAAACTGACACCTTTATACAAGGGATCATGTTTGCAATAACCACAACACAAACAGTCAAAATGCAAACAAAAAGAGACAACTCTGATAATGCACTGTCCTTGAAATTGATTGGTCCACACCCGAGACAGCTTTTCTTAGAGCCGAGCTGTCTCGGGTGTGGACCAATCAAATTCAAGGACAGTGCATATCATTATCAGAGTTGTCTCTTTTTGTTTGCATTTTGACTGCTTGTGTTGTGGTTATTGCAAACATGATCCCTTGTATAAAGGTGTCAGTTTTGGTGCCAGATAAAAGGGTAAAAACCTATTATTATATCTTGCTACTGGCAAAGGAGGTCTCATAATATTGTTGTTTGACTTGCATCCCACTGGGATTTTTGCACACAGCGTTGGTGTACGGTGCTATTTCAGGAATATTTTGATGTTTTTTTCCTGGATTTTCTGTTTGCACTGTCACATAATCACTTTAAGATGTTTTCTTGTTCATGTTTTTGTTTGTTGCGGTTGCACCCGATTCAAGAACCGAATGGCTCACAGGGCTATACCAAATAAATGGAAACTGAACTGAACTGAAAGCCCCTACGTGTGAAAACTACACTTGCATTGAATTCATAACGCAAACGTTCGCGATTTGCAGCATGCTCGACTTCGACTCCTTGTGAATCGTTGCAACAATTCTCGCGCGAATCGACCCTGGGGTTTTTTTTTTTGGGGGGGGGGAGGTGGCAATCGCAAAGCGAGAACTGATTCATTTGCTCGCACAGAGAGAGACACACACACTGTGACACCGCGCCCATCGACTCACACGTTCACAGATACCTACCCACCACCACCACTCCCTCCGTATAAGCCTCGCAGCGCGTATGAATGCCGGCACGGCACACGAGGGGACGGGGACGGTCAGTATACTAGGCCCCAGCCCGGTGTCTCTCTCGAGTTGGCGATGGTTTTTTTGTTTGTTTGTTTTCTTTTAACACACCGACCGACAGGGAGGCGCCAGGGACTGGTTCAGATAATCGTCACCGGCGTTGGCCGTGAGTGCGATTCGAACCCCGGCTTTTTGGCCAGGCTAGGCTGCGCTTTAACGGCGCACCGAGACGACACGCGGAAGTCGACGTTGTGGCCGTGGGCCAGTTGCGGGGAACCCGCCCGGCCACGGACGAGTCGCGGATGGCGGCGTCGGACGAGAACCCCGAGCTGCAGCGGCTGCTGCTGCAGCTGAAGGTGAGCGAGGCGGACCCCGCAAGGGGGGAGTGGGGGGGGTTGTGGTGAGAGGGGTGAGAAGACACGGGGATGGCCGCCGGTCATCAGAGGTGTTTGGCCTGTGCCGGGGGGCTCTTCCCTCGCCAGCGGGCCACTCTGCTGGGTCCCAGGCTCGGGTTCCGCCGTCGGTTCGCACCACTGGCACGGGGCGCCCCCCCCCCTATCCCCCCCCCCCTATTCCCCCCCCCCACTATTCCCCCCCCCCCCCCCCCCCACTATTCTCCCCCCCACTATTCCCCCCTGGTGTATGGGTTATTCCGGAATACACACCGAATTCGAGACCCACAACGTCGCTGGCTTTGACGTGGCCCCCCCCCCCGCCCCTGTCTCGAAGACACTGTGTGTGTGGGGGGTTAACCCTCAAACGCAGCAGAACATCAGAATCGGAAGTTTATTTCCCGAGCAAAATGCCCCATTGAGCCGAGAAGCTCTTTTAAAGGGCGACTGGGCAGGCAGATAGACACCAATCAAAGCGTTCCGTAATTACAGATTTAAAAAAAAAACTTGATAATCAACTTCTTTCGCGCCGTACGTAGCCAACCATGCTAATTATATTATAAAGGGGGGAAATAAAGACGGACAGGCCACGGTTGTGGCCATGCAACCCGAACTATGGGCCGTGTAATTAAACCACGAGAGTCTGCGTTCATCCTGAAGCACACCCGTAGCTAACAGGCCTCGATATTGACATTTAGCCTCTGAACATTTTACCGCATGCAAGAGTAGGGGGAGCCGTGACACCAGACGCTTTGGAGGCGAGGGTTGGTGGATCACGCAGAGAGTTGAGAAACTTCCCAACCAGCCAAGCTGCGAGCTGGTGGTTAGATGCGAATGAAGGACATTTGACTAAATAATTGTGAAAAATAAAATTAAGTTTCGTCTCCTTAAAATAAATGATGACAAAAGCCCATCGGCCCCACCACCGCCTTTGTTCTGGGAGTGCATAATTTCAGCACAAGCAAAACTCCGTACCGGTTTGGACAGTCCATCTCATCAGCAGCACCATAAGTCAGGCTTGAATCAATGCCGGTGAACTGCCAGACGTTACAGTATAGACAAGGACTCCTCTCTTGAAGATATCGATCCTATAGTTCGACTCGTGGTTTCTGCTCAGCGAGAAGTGTAGCATTACAGCAGTGGCTGTGTGGGGAGTACAGTTGGTGAATCTTGTCAGTCATCTCAGTCGACGTATGGCACCTGGGTCTGCCCCCTGACCTCCTGCGAGCGAGCCTTCGACACTTCACGTGACCTCGAAGTGCACCTAGCCTGGCACAAGTGCTGTGGTGACGTCACCAACACTTAGCGGCGAACGGCGGTTGTTGTGTGTGCTGAGCCTGCTGCTTGGTGGTGGAGTGACGCCGTGAGATGTGGGCTTGCTTCTGCTTTCACTTTGACCACCTTCTGTTCGTGCCGTGGGTGGGGAAGAACGCTTCATGTTGTAGCGATGAATGCAAGGCGTGGAAGAGAAGAAACCTCTTACCCCGTGGCCAGTGATCGACTGGGACTAAAAATCGGCCCAGGCATATCTAAACACACCCGTCCAAATTAAGTGTGGATCTCTTTGGCCCATTTGGGCTGGGTCCAAAAAACTAATGGGCCAGTGAGGATTCATCTTTGGGGATGCCGAATATGGGACTTAATGCCAATTAAGAGCGTAAATAAGCAATGAAGCGTCCATATTAGAGGTAATGCATTATTTTAGTTACAAAAATATATTTTTTTACTCTGATCACATGTGCAATTTCCCCATACAGACCGGCACACTGAATGGACTGGACTACCGGACATTTTCCCAGACTGCCCTACGGCCAGTCCGAGCCTGCCCAATGCACACCACGGAGAGAGACAGTAGAGTCACGGATATTTTATAGCCGGGCAGTGATGGCTATGCGCGTGGCCTGCAATCCAGCACAGTCGAGGCAGTGAGGGTTGGTGGATCTTAAACATGATTGTGAAACTCCCTTCTCGTGGCCGTCGAGGAGGAAAACAAATGTGGACTCCGCCTGTTCTGTCTTGTATGGGATTGAGTGTTTCCCCTGAGTACATTTGTGTTCTCTCCAGATGCTACGGTTTCCTCCCACATGTAAACACTCATTAATTGGCCGATAACACCTTCATATGCTGTGTAGAGGACCGCAATTGTTGGTAGCGCCGGCTCACCGCGTAGCTGCTTTCCTGCTTGTCTGTGGTTCCTCATGCCTCAGAGTCATTCTCTCTTTATGAGAGTGAGAGAATACTGTGCACGTTATAAGTTGAAATGGAATATAATCTATGAGATTCCGGTACGGAAGTCCCAAAACAGACAAAGAGGGCAACGGCACAAGATGAGCAGCAGGAAGAGGTGTAGGTAGAGATGGAACGGGGACATTAGGTCAGGGATCAGAGCGTGATAAGAGGTGAGGAAAGAGAGGACGGATAGCAGCAAGAAATGAGTTGTACGGAGGAGCAGCATCTGTTTTCACGGGGGGGGGGGCGGTTAGGAGAGGCGAGGCATTCAGAGCTGGGCTTGAGATAATTTATATATACAAGATGTAATTCATAGAGTAATATTCGTTATAACAGCTCAAAATATGCTTTAAATCGCGTGTAAAAATAGGTGTTGCTTGACTGATGCATAGCATTGCGGTATCACAGGTGAATGGAGTGAACACGAGTGTATGGATGCAGAAGGAATTGACAATATAAATAAGACGGGGGAAACGAGATTTAAAAAAAGGTGATGTGGGACAGCCAGGCACATGTACACAGCCTACATTGCTTCACGTCCACACGGATGAGATTGAACACAGCGGTGGATTGCCCGTAGGATTGTTGCGATATCATTTTTCACAGGACGATGGCATATTTGACGATCTGATTATTACGAAATCAGTTTACTATAAATTTGAAAATGTATTTCGTTTTTCATGGTTTTTTTGCTGTACTCCAGTATGATAACTATTATGCCTGTTTACTTAAGAGAGCCTGCGTCTCCGAACATGTTTCTTTGCAGGAGGGGAAGATGACTTTTACGTTTATTGGGAACTTTTCAAATTTGACAAATTTTGGACTATGACACCGGCAAAACAATGACCTACTCTTGCAAATTATGTCATGGGATCTTGAAAGTTTACTGTGAAGCAGAGTATGCTTAGTATTATCACAGTTAATACAGCTGCGTGCATTTAGCCATAACCCCGACAGTTTATGTTAGAGACTTGGAGGAAATGTCCAGGCCTGTCGCAGCCAGGGTAACCTCATTCATTATGAAGTATATTTGATGACCAGGTTTGTTCATTTATAATTAGGGGTGTGATTTTCCTGCCACAATGAACTGCCAGGATTTGGGGTCATCGTTAGATTCAAGAATCGATTATCTTTGTCTCGTTTACTACCAGCTTGTTTTTATTTCCAACTTTGGGTGTAAGTGTTAATGGATAAGCGCTGTCCATCCGTCTGGCTATCCTGAGGCGTGGGGGAAACAATAGCTCTCAAAAAGATGATCTTCTGTAAATAATATTAAGTTAATAAAAAAGTAGTGTTGCTATAAAAGACGTATTCTATAGACGACCAGGTAATCAAAGGATTGGCCAAAATCAATTAATTTGTCTATGGCTTGGATTATTTTTTAACAATGTGCCATTTTCACTTGCCTGGCAGGAAGATGACACATTGGTGGCCGGAGAGAAGTTTCTGTGCATGTTGAGGTGTCAGCATCATGTGATCGAGCTGCTCACGAAGGAAAATAGAGAGCTGCGGAACGAGGTGGCTCGCCTGCAGAGACCACCCCTGCCTACATCAGGTGAGCAGGTTCTATGAGGGCTGTGAGCTCGAGTCTCTTGCCTTGTGGATATCTCTACTCGTACAGGTGAGATGGCTTCATGAGGACTGTGAGCTTGAGTCTTTGCCTCCAGTCAGCATCTTTAGGTGGAATGCCCAGTGTCGTTAATTGAAGATAATTTGCCTGGTTCAAAGTTTGAAGAAACATTTTAAGAAATGACATTGCTCAAATGAAAAGACTCCACAAAGCTCACGGTAATTGGTTACGTTGTGACTGGATAAGAAGTCACAGTGACGGGTGATTCGTTGGCTTGGTTCTGCACATCCAGCATTTGCCAAACACATGGCAGAGGCATTTGAAACAATCATGGTCAAGATGTTGGCAAACACCTGGGACTCAAATCTCAAATACAATGCGGGTCGTCAATACTATGATGGACTTGTGGAGTCGTCACTTTTCAAAGGAGGAGGTGCCTTTTTAAGGGCAGAAATATTTTAAAGACGGTCGAGGAATCGGTAGAACCTTTAGATTTATAATTTATTGCACCGACACTCGTCTACATGTCCTTTATTTGTAGTTGGCTGAGAGCCCACTTTGACCAATTTAAGTCTCTATTTTTTAAAAGAGAGACCTTGGTAAAACAAGACTATTTGTATAATTATACCTCTTTTTTATCCACTGCTGGATGAGGGCCTCCCCATGCCATGTGGGTGGAAGGTTATTTAACCATACTTGAATGTTTTTGTCAATGCGGGTTTGTGAAGGTGGGATGCATGTACGTTGGAGCATAGTACAGTACAACAGTGGTTTTCACTACACTGCCCTTTACTGATGGAGCGGCTGACATTTGGGAAAGTAACGAGCTACGCATGTTGGTTGAGGGGGATCTCATGCAATTAACAAGATGGATGTCTCAGGGGCGTTGAGCTCAGGGGTCCCGAACGATTGGGGGGCGGGTGGGGGTTTAAATAGGTTGTCAAAGAATGGATAACATGTTCTTTTGAATCTGCCTCCTTTCCTTTAAGTGTCTGCTGTACACGGTGTTACCCCGTGTTGTTTATGGACCAGAGCCGTGCCCTTGACATTAGAAGTGGGCGGCACTTGGCCAAGCCGGCTCCGTTCAGCAAAATAAAAACCGGGAAATAATTAAGAAAAATTTTATTGGAAAAAACGAGATACAAATATATATTTTTGAAACTGACAGTTCAGCGATTGCTTTGAGAATGATAACTCTAAACTAAATTGAAGATGAAGGTGATGCTCATGGCAATGATGACAATTGTGATGAGCACATTAACGACTTTACGACTTGTTCCTATGTGCACAGAGCCGCCTCTTTCAGTGCCGCTCCCCTACCGCTGTTACGGGCAGATGTTTGGGGCTGCGGAGATGTTCCTGAGCTGGCTCACCGAGCCGTTCAGGTCGGAAGGCTTGGACCTCAGGCCCACGTACCAACCCGCGTCGGCTGAGAGGTCACCCTGTGCCCTCCCAGCCAACGCCGCGTCGCAGTTTCCCGCCGCTTCCCCTGCGCTGCCGCTCTTCGTGTTCTGCGTGAACGCGTCGCGCATTGCCAGCGACACGGAGCCGGCGCGCCGTGAGCTCAGCCCAGGTGCATGCAGAAAGTTTGCTCCCTACGGCTCGCCTCACTTGGTCGTAATCTGCTGTTGTAATAATCAGTTACTCCGTAGATTACTGCTTCCATTCACCGGTAAATCGATTTGTATGAATATGCACTCTCAAAACGTGATGCAATCGCCATCATCGCCCGTGTCCGCGTCTCGCGGGGCACGCACAGCAGTGATTTTGCCATAGTCTAGAGGCCAAATTCCCCACGTACCATTATTTAAAAATAAATTCACTTAACTTTAAACATCTAATAAATTTTATCAGTTCATAATTTAAGCGATACTCAGGATTACGTTTATCCCCATGAATGGTTTGTGTATTATTTCCACTTTTGCTGGGAAAGGGGCTTCGATGGCCCAGTAATGATCCAGAAACGCTCGCCCGGGTCTCTACACTCCATCATGGGAGCTTTCTTGAAAAAATAAGAAAGTTCATATATTTAATGTAGACAAGTATTAGGTTTGACTATGTAAATTAAAATCTGTTTTCTAATTCTATTCGTGTCTGGCACACCAACATGGCCCTGAAGCTGAACAAAGTGAGTGATGTCAGAAGGGAACCTGAGGACCCAGGTCTGAGATTCCATGGGATTGGTTTGATTAGGGTGCCCATCTTAGTCCCAGCATGGAAGCAACATGTGGTACACCATGGAATATAATCGGTGCTCGTGACCTGTGAAGCATGCTTGGATCAGAGCTGACTTTGGATTTGAATTGTTGACAAATGGTCTGCGACCTGCCGACAAAGCCACTGTGCACTGGCTTCGTAGTGATGCTGGTTTTACAGCTACCTGCTGTAATATGTATGCTTAAGACTCTTTCACATTATTTACAAAAGTAGGCCAAGGCTTGCTATAGTCAGAGTCCAAATCCCAATTAGGAAGCTTAAAATAATATTTATTATGTTTACTTCACTTGCGATGTAACCCATGTTTAACTCTTTCTCTCATGAGTTCTCTGCCTGAGGGCAGGATCGAGTTGCTCCGACCTGTCAGAGAATGCTCTTTTCTCTTGGGTTTCTCACATGGCTGCCCTCTCTTAAAGTACCACCTTTCATCATCTTTCAGCAAGCTATCCCCTCTCACAGTATGTCCCATCCAGATCCTCTGCTTTCCATTATTTATTATAATTGTACGTTTCTCCTGAACCCAATCTAGAAGTTCCTTGTTAGTTCTATATACCGAATAATAATAATTTATATCCCTTTGTCAATCCACTGCTGGAGGAAGGCCTCCCCATGTCCTCTCAGTTATGGGGGTTCATTCGATCATACTTCACTACATTGGTCAGTGCGGGGTGTTGTAGGTTAGTACCCAGGATTGGTTCAGGTGTTACTCGCTACTGGAGTTGACCATGGGTGAGAATCTAACTCGAGTTGCCACGGTCATCATGCAGCACGCATGCCAACAACTGTGCCTATGCTGCCCCTATATTTACACAGGTGAGAACATTGGTGCAATCATACGTAACATTGCACATGTCTTCATTAGCACACGTTACTATATGTACATAAAACTCCCAGGCAGAAGAGATCACGAATCATCCGTCACCTGCGACATGACTTGGTGAGAGTACGCGTGGCCGCCTCTTCCCCCATCCCCGCTCATTATACTGATGCTGGCGGTGCTCTTCGCTGTGTCCCTGGTTGTGTAGGTGAGCTACCCGTCCTCGTGGTGATGCACCACACGCCAAACCCCAACCACACGGACCCCAGGAGCAGCCTTCACCTGTCGTGCCATGGCGGCAGCGAGAGCGGAGACCGTAGCCCCGGCTTCCAGCTCATCCTCGACTGCTTCTTCTTCGAGCACCATGGCCTCTACGACTGCCGGCAGAACCGCAGTGCCGTACTGGCGGCGACCTCGTACCTGCGCGGCAAGCTGCCCGTCCGCGCACCCGGGAGCAGCTGGCCAGAGAACAGCAGGATGGGTTGTAACAGCGGCACAGGATATCCATGGCCTTGTCACTCCTCGTAGGCTGACACTGCACCAAAGGTGGCAACGGTAACCAATTGCTTGGGTGGAGCAGTCCACAGTGTGGCTCTATCCACAGGGGGGAGAGTCTGGAGACAGTAGGACGAGATTCCCAAATGCTTGGCATCTGTAATTTGCAGACTGCTTTGAGAATGCTTAGTGGCCCGTAGGGATGTCTTTGTCGGGCAGTGAAGTTGGTGCAAACCTTGTATGGCCAACCGAAGTGCCCTCCCATCGTTTGAATAGAGAAGTCCGTGGATTGTATAAGCCATCTAACCAATAATGACTAGGGTCTGTTTCCTCGTGGGACATGCCCCAACTTTCATAGTGTGGCAACGTCTGTGGCCAACAGCAGAAAAGGAGCGACTCATTGAGCAAAGGATTTTCGGAGAGAGCCTTAATTGCTGGGGTGTTGAACACATGAAGGGGGAGCAGAGTAGAATGGCAGGGGGGGGGGTGGTATGCAGGGAGGAGTCCATAGAAGATCTTGATGACAATATTGAGGATGATCTTATAATTGATCTAGGACTGGATCTGGGGCCAGTTTCAGGATCTGAGGATTGGAATGGTTGGGTCTCATTTACGTGTGTGCGTGAAAATGTGTTGCCGAGCTCACTTTGAGATACCTCATGGACGGTGCAACGTGACGAGAATACCTGTGCTTTGTTTACTAAAACGTGGTGCGCATGATCCTTGCAGGTAGGCAGTTAGGCAAAGTGAGAAGTGGGAAAGTTATTCTCAAAGTAGGAATCACTTGTGTTTCTTCAACCCTTAGGAACACTTCTATTCAACAATGGGTTTTTTTTCTTCTTTATTTTGGCTCTGTTGATAAGGCAGTCGAGTAGTGTGGTGCGCAGTGTTTCTCCGGATCTACTTGGATATCTGTTTAGGGTGCCGAGGTTTGGATGCTACAATAAATATGTATTTGTACTGAATTATAAATAATTCTCAAATGAAAAACAATTTTCATTCGGTCAAGTTCTGGTACCTCCAGCAACGTGATGTTCGATGGCTTAGCACGGTTGGCTACGTATGGTGCAAAAGAAGTTCAGCATAATACATGTATTGACTGTGGACGGATGATGGGCTGAGTGGACCCCCAAACGTGATTTGAATTCTCAATCTTCAAATTTACGAGCCGCTCGCTCTACCACTGAGCCACCTGGCCAGTTATTTAAAGGTTCCTGAAATTGCATCATTAGTCCAACCATTTTATCGAACCAAGCGAGAGCCTACAGACGTGGAGCACTTTTTGCAGGACCTGATTGGCCACAGTTAAGACAATGATTTACTTTGCCCTATCATTGTTAATTTAATTACAGGTAACATTTGGATTTCAGCTATGGCACCTTGTATAACATCGTGTGATCTTCTTGTGAATGATGCAAGTGAGTCTTACGATCCAGCGCTTGCGGGGGGGGAGGGCAAGGGTTGATGAATCGTGTTGAGATCTCCAACATTTCTGAACCCACTTGGCTGTTTAGGTGGCCAGAAGATGGCTGTGCATCAAATGGATTGTTGTATCTGTCTTTAACCATTATTCGCTCATGTGGTTGATTTCTCGATAAGTCCGCTTAGTTCCTTTGTACATGCCAAAGGCTCTTTAATAGAATTGGTCCAACTTCTCACTTGAATAAAGAGTCTTGAAACAGTGAGATTTTCCTCGGCAAAGAACATGACTTATTGATATTATTACGTCATGATATTGCTCTGCTGGATGTACTGGACAGGCAGAGGTGTCGTGTTGTCAATCATGAATTGCAAATTGACTGGAAGTTGAGTTGGTCATGAGAATACCACTGCTGTGTTTTATACCAGTCACACTACTGCGATGTATGTCATTTTTCTTGGTTCTTTCGGTAAAGTCACGTAGAAGGGAAACAATAATTTAAAAAATATTATTTTATTGCTTCCCTTCTACGTGACTTTACCGAAAGAACCAAGAATATGAATCCCTGCAGTGACGAAAACTTCAAATCAAAATGTATGTCATTCACTAAATGTATGTGTTCATATACCATGACTTATAATCTGCTGCTTTAGTCAAATTGTGTGTTTACTGTGCCCTCAAAGATCTTCCATTTAGTCTTACATGCTGGTTGAGTTGTTAGCGAGCACCTGTTGAAGCTGGCATAGGGCACGAGGAGGGTGGTGTGTTGCCAGCACCACGCTCACCTTTGTCTTCCAATTGCTGATATTTTGCACATTAAGGCCGATTCGACCTAGGCGAGACCCAAGTCATGTTCACATACTGCATGCCGCTGATAAGTTATTTTTTTAATCCAACCCAGGAGTAGAACTGCCGTTCGCCACGAAGTGGTGGTGACGTCACCACGGGACTTGTGCCAGACGAGGCGCACCTTGAGGCCACGTGAAGTGTCAAAGTCTCGCTTGCAGGTCACGGGACAGACCCAGGTGCCATGGGTTGTCTGAGTGGGGTACACCCTGATAGGCACAGTCAAGTTGAAATTGTAATCCAGTGGTTGTGGCCGCACTGGCAAATGTAACGTGTACAAGACATTTACTTCTGAATAATTCAAAGCATATACAGTGCATTAAAAAAATATATTTAAACAGTCGGTGCATTGTGACCTTTATTGCCACAGTTTTAGTTAAAATGAATATATACTTAATAACGATAATTCCTAGGACAAAAGGGCACTATCAAATTAAAAAATGTAACGTCCCTTTACCCAGGAAATGCCTCACCAATTCTCGGCACTTTTTTAGGGTCCATAATTGATATGTCTGCTCGTTACCATTAACGCATGTTTGACATGCGAGGGGAAACCTGAGTGCTGGAGACGTCGCCACGCATACAAGGGGGGTAACACTAATATCCACTAGGACAGATTCAGGAATCCGCTGCTGTACCACTGTCCCTAGGTAATTTTGCAACTCATACCTACAACACAAACGGCGATATCACTACATCTGTAATACGTCATCGTGAAATATCATGTATCGTAAAAAATGTCATCGCGGTAACTCCACTGAACCTGTGGGTTTCGCGCAATGACATTTAAGCTGCGTTCTTTTCCATACTTCCCGTGTTGCCAGCTCCACAACTGACCGATCAAAGTCGCGCAACTGGATTGGCTACAACTCAATCGCTTACGTGTGAACTTTTCGACAACCAGTTGCAAGCCATTGCACAACCGGTTGCTCGCAGCAGAGACACTCGACTTTCAAGCGATCCGCCCCTTGATTTGTACCCAGTAAACATGCAACGTCAGCCCAACAACGCTCCATGTGTATTAGGTAGCGATGCATTTCACCACGTGCTATTACAAGCCCGTTTAATCCCCTTGTTGCCCAACTACCTCACTGAGATGTTGACAAAGCAGTTGTGGGCGATTAACTACAGAGGTTGCGGGACCCGACTTTTAATAAGAGAACCCAGAGTGATTGGCAGGGGCCATGGGTTCGGTACCGAACAGCACCAGCGGGTGTCGCTGAGACGACCGAAATCACCACAATGCCAGTTGGCAAGCCACGCAGTCGATCGGGGGATTCCCCTTCTGAGGTTAACCCGGGTGCTCGGATGAAATGTACCGCAACCCAGCCCTTTGTTAATTCGCCTGCTGGCTGAAAGCATCCCAACGCCGTGTTGCCTACGGGGGAGGTGTTTTGATCTTACTTCACTCCACTGGTTCGCGCGGGTTGGTGAAGGTGCCGAGGGGCTTAGAGCCGGTTTAGTTATCTTATAAACCGCCACTCACATTAGCAGTGGTCGGGAATGTCATGTAGAACCGTGTACGCTTACCACTGCGCCATCGCTCAAATGTAAGGCGTATTCTAACAGTTGCACGTAAGAGATGCGTAGACACACCCCGGGTTGCCCTGAACTTTCTGCACAGTAAACGTGGAGCTTTGACCCTACGATGCATGTTTATTGTGTGGGAAAACGCAGTTATCATCGAACATCAATTAATCTCTGGCATGCACACAATGTGTGTATATGATTGCCATTTCTGAGGTACAGTACTATACAAAAAAAACCCGGGACAGTAAACAAAACTCAAATCAAAACTTGTATTTACCAGATAAAGCCCACTTGAGCTATTAGCTCTTCGAGGTGACCTGGCAAGACGTGATAGCACATCGAAGTGGCTTATCACGTGTGGATATTTATCGTAGTCGCCAGAAGAGGAAACTTATTTCACGATACATTGAGAAGTGATCGCTGCGCATAAATATGCATTAGTCTTGAGTGGTGTATTATTATTACCACTGCGCAAATGACAACACTCGGGGCCTTTTAATGTCCCGGAAAGACATTTATTTTCATTTTTACAGGACATCTGCTACTTCAAAGAGAGGACGATCCAAGTAAAAACCGGGAAAGGATGGCAACAGCCCATGTTGTATCCCCGGCTCGGATGTTCACTGCACCACACATCTGACACTTGCCATTGCAAACCAAGTTCAGGGGCTCTGCTTCAGACTGAAAACACAAAGACAATAAACAATATACCCTGTACAGCACCACACGCACGTGATTACCAGTGTCCACTCCGCGCATATATAATGGCTTCAAGGTCCGTATGAGTGTTGTGGCTAAAACCACGTTCGGCTGCCGTCTTCCCAGTGCTAATGTTTACACATTGCACCACGTACTAATTTAATAATTTTTAGAACAGTAAGGGTCCGCACTCCAATTGCTTACTGAAGTTCGTAATTTCCAGGATTCGATTTCAGATCTCTGATGTCATATCACAGTGCCCTATCTACTGCGCCACCCCCCCTACACGATGGTAATGTGTTGACAATTGAGCTACAATATTACGGATGTCTCTTTGCCCGCTGGCGCGATTATGTTTCGCACAACCGGCATGCATCTGGCAATAACATAACAAGTATGTATGCTATATAATACACCTTGTTTTTTGTTGTGAATGCTTGGACATACACGTGTATGCATGCCCTCGATTCTGTATTAAAATTCCGCTGTACACAGCAGACGCGCGACTCATGCAAACTGGTACAATTTGGGCATTCGAACGATGATGCCGGTTGTAATCACCAGCGAAACGTCGTACAGTATTCATATTGTAAATGTTGTAGGTTGGCTCTCTAAACACGCCGCTGTGCTCAACTAGTAACTAATTGGCACGTCGCGTTATTCACGTGACAAACCTAATTGGCTATATCGGATGGAGGTGGATTTACGACACATTTACATGTATGGGAGCTAACCCCAAAAAAAGTATTATGAATATTGGTCGCGAAAGCTTAAAGGGCCATAAATGACGTCACGCACCTGGGGGGGGGGGGGTCAGACATTTGTGACGAGGGGGGGGTTTGAGAAATGTGACGTCACATCAAAAAGCGCAACTTTAAATAAATATAGACAACACGTTCTACTTAATTAAATAAACGTTTTAATAAATGTTTTCTCCTACAACATCAGAGTGCAGCGCCACATTAAATACGCACTACAATGACAATAGTTCAAAGCGATTTGAAGCATGTTTTATTTTGGGGGGGGGAGGGGGCAGAGCTTTGTGACGTCATATTTGAGGGGGGGTCTGATTTTTTGTGACGCCGTGTGAAGAAGGGGGGGGGGGTCAAAAATCGTCAAAAATCGCGTGACGTCATTTATGGACGGCCCCTAAACAAACTGGCATGCCAGTGCTTTGATGTGGTGACTGCAAAAAAAACTATTTTTGGTTCATAAATGACATTCCACGCTTCATTTTTCGTGTGCGCGTCTTGCTTGCTCGTGCTGTCGGTGAGCCCTGTCACGAGGCGAATTCTGGATGTTGAACTGTCCAGAGCAGTGTATATCACCCAGTGTTAGAGTACAGTCGACACACATAAGGATATATCACAGAACTACTCATGAATGTTCAAGTGACCTCTTATTTACACTGGGGGAGGGGAGAAATCCCCCCCACCTCACTCCGTCCTTCCAGAAAGAGTAACGTTCGTAACGTTTGCCAAATGGCAATTAAAAAACACATTTTTTTATTCGCAGGGCTCTTTTTTGTGTTCAATTTGTTCTTCCCCCGCACCTCCGATTAGCCCGGTTGGCAACGTACGTTGGGAAAGAAGTTCAACATACATACAATCAAATAATGTTGAAAATCAAGCTTAATATAATGGAATGGGTGTTGTGCAGTCAAGTGTCACCAAGTTGAGAACACTGGCTCATCACACATGGGTGGTGTCTGGATTCCACTCGCGGTCTCAGCAGTGCCAGCTCAGCCTCCTTACCCCCGAGTCATCTAGCTGCCTCATTATTTAATACAAAACAAAATTGCCTGGGAAGTTGAACTTCCCAATGCAAGAATACTCCTAAATGAGTCTTGGCTAAACCATCAGCACTATTATTTTAAACATACGTACGTACTAGTGATGCGCATACTTTTATAATTATGCTGCTTAATAATGAAGGCATGTTGGGGTGGTATTATAGTTTGCAATCTGACCATGCAAGTTCGGAAGTCCCTGGTTCGTTCTCTCAACACAGCAGTTGAAACCAGAGTACACGTTTCTTAAATATGTGCAAGCTTCTGTCGACCTAGCAGTATAAATGGGCAGGCCACAGTCGATCAGCAGGGGGATAAAGCATAGCAACTCATACCTATTTACATACACCTTGGCAGCGTGGAAGAGGTGGCCAAATACCATCTCGAAAGGCCCTCCCGCCAGCAGTGCCAGGCAGTTGTGATTAAACGAAAACACTAAACTATTTTTTTTTATTTTACCAGGTAAGCCCCACTGAACTATATAGCTCATTTTCAGCAGCGACCTGGCCACAAATGATCGGCCAACGAAGTGGCTTATCGTGTGGAAATTTATAGCAGCCGAATACTAACCGCTTGTTTCTAAATGTGGAAGACCCGGAGAAAAATCCACGCGACCACAGGGAGGACATGCAACTCCAATTATACAGGTGGAGTGACATCGCGGGATTTCACTGTGTAATGCCAGCCCGAGAAAGGCACGGCCTGCGATGTATTGACATCGCAGACACCACGTGGATGTGGGTGCAGTACCGGCCCTAGAGGGGCTCGGTGAGCGCTGATCGATCACGTTGGATGGCACCATGCATAGCGTGCAGTGCCGGCCCCTACAGGATAGGGTGTGGGGGTGCCGGCCATGGAAACGGTTACTAAAGGCCGTGGCACTCTGGTTGACCCCAGAGGACACGTGACTGGTTAAATCTACACAGGGGCCCCCAAGTGGGGGCTAGGGGTGGTCATGTGTCAGGGTCGAGATTCTGCTCGAGGATTCTTGAAGGTGGTCGTGGCCAAGGGCGGAGCCAGCCACGCCGCAGAGGATATAATCTGGGTCTGCCAGAGGGACCGGCGCTGTTGTTCATCCTGAAGAAACCTCCATCTACGTTCTATGTCCTAGAAGAGTCTCCAACACGTGGACCTGGACCGAAGCTGTGGATCGGTCCATTGTAACTAGTTACATTGTAATTAGTGTAGGTTGTTATTCTGCTAACCCGATTGTTGGTGTTAATAATTGTGTTGCCTCCAAGAAGTACGTCTGCGACTCAGTTGAAGTCACGACACAGACGTCAGGGTCTGGATCGAACCCATGTCCGGATACCAGGCAAG